CTTATAATAACGGTTTGCCAACTTTCTTGGTGGATATATAACTTTTTTTTTCATTTTTGACTTTCCCCATTGTCTCACTATAGACAATCGTATTCATCGAATAAGAACTTTAAGACTTTTTTCGTTTACCGAATGAAATTGAATGGAGGTCTCGCGGCTCTCAAAAATGGTGAGTGGAAGGGTGCGCGAACTCTGCCCCAGGTAATGGGGGTTGCTGAAACTTTAAGGTCACCTCTAGGGCCGCTAATCCAGCCACAGGTCGTTTCAACCGACAAACTCTGTCTTCTTGGAGAATCTTAGATACATCGTCAGGTTAAGCTGTCAGGAGGTACGACTGTTTCCTATACGTGGTAGTATTTTTCTTTTCGCTACTAAACAGTAGTACTACTATACTGTCATTTTCAAAGATATTTTTAAGACAATATATTATTTACATTGTTACAACGGATTATCTACATTGTTTGAATAGTACTGTAAGAAGTTAAAAAATAATTCCAAGTCTTAATTGAAAAAATTGGTTATTTTTGACATGGAGTCTCATAAAAATTTTATAAATCTTTAAAGAAGTCAAAATACATAACATTAATTCAACACGGTAATTATATCTGGTTTGTGCGATTTAAATTATTTTCCCTGTGTATATCTCATAAACGGAACAGTCGACTTTTTCGAAATTTTGCAACACGCGAAGATTATATACCCTGTAAAACCACATTAAAATTTCGGACTGATTGGTTGGATTTATTTATTCTGATAGTCTCTTTAACCTTCTTAACAAACTTGTGATTTTGACAAAATTAGAAGTAGGTATGTTTAATACACGTATTAACCCAAGAATAGCTATCGTATTTTTTGTAAACGCTGATGACTATCAAGAGTCTCTCAGACTCTCCACTATTCTGGCCGTAGTTATTGGATTTTATTGTCAATTCTTTAAATCAATATGCCAAAGTTTGATAGATAAGAAAGTGTAAGGAAATATTACTTTCGATAAATATTTTCGAAGATGTGGGTCCAGAAAAAGAATACTTTAAAGAAACGTAAAAAAAATGCAAAAGCCCACAGGGTCTCCTAGAGCCTCTATAGGCCCTTACACGAATGATACAATAATATGTATGTATGTACATCATAATGTAAAAAAGGATGCGCAATTTGACCGAGCTATTCTTAACAAGCAAGAACGGCATAATCAGGAGACTATATTATATCACTCGAATAACAGAAGCTAACCATTGAATCATGTAATAAAAGCTATGTATATAAAATACTATAACAAAAGTATAGAATCCCATAAACGAAATGAGGTCGTACTGTTAATAAAATCATGTAAAAATATACCACAGTAAATTTAGACTGAACCAATTACAGTTCACTATAGTAATACTACAATGATCATTAATGGTCATAAACAAGACCTCCGAGAATGTTTAACAGCAGAATAGTTGTACATACATACAAAGTACGCGAAAATGCTCAGAGCGTCGCGTTACTAGTAAAGACGACAATATTACGAGTCTTGAAAGAAGTTTGTATATTCAGGATGAAGGTGCCTGTTGTGGGTAAACCTATATACTGTGCCCGGTTTATGCGAGAGCGTCGCGACGGAGACGTCGTACTACGTAGTTTTGCTCTTGGGGTGACCTTGAAAGCTCCCACGCGATGTCAAGAGAGCTTCGTTCATCGACGCGCATTGCTACCCCTCCGCTTCTCCCACCATTCCATACTCTTCTCCCCTCTTTCTCTTCCTTACCCTCTTCCGCCCTCTTCCATGTCCCTACGCCATCACGCATGGACACGCCAACGCACCCACACCTTCATAGGGTTCACCCCACGTAGAACAAGTCTCCTCACGATCAGCGCCACGATCGTTAAAGCGCCCTGCTAATCTTCTTTCTCTCTCGCTCATGACGAAACGAGAGAGAACTCCGTCCATTCATGAACTCGACCGCGACGCCAATTCCACGGCGACGCTTGCTGACGCTGAATGAATATAATCTGGGTTTCGGATATTTTTGAAGAAACCTCATGCGTTGACTTTATACTCCATACCATTAATTTCTTTATAAATACTGTAATACTAATAATACGATTATAGTAGTAGAGTACCTTTATTAAGTATAAGGGAACCACTGCAAGCTTAAGAATTAGGGATTTATGTTTTGAGATATACCTACATACGTCGCCCATTCATGAGGTTGCGGTGTAAATAAATGTTGCAAGCTCTTATATCCGTCGGCTTTCTCTATAAATTATTTTTGGAGGGTGACTTTGTGCTCTGTAAACTATTGTCTGATTTATATTTAAAAAATGATTTTTCGGCTTTGACAAGAAGCAACGCTGAGTAATTTGGTTGAGATCAGATTGAAATGTCGGAGTGTATATTATGATGGACTAGTCCTGAAGTACTCATCTATTTATGGCAGATTAGGTTACATATATGTAGATGTAGATTTACTATTAGAGTCCATAAACTGTAACCGCGAGTAAATAAATAATTCGAAGATAATAATTTTGCATCGATAGTAACGATCATCTTATATTGTTTTTGAGCTATTCGTGATCATAAATATCTTGCACCAAGAGTCATTGAACTCGTCTAAAGTGTAATTATCATACCATGGAGAAAAAAAGATTTTAATCCAGTAAAAAAATAGATATCACCTTGAAATCTCCCAAACAACTCCATCTATGAAAAAATAGTTACCACCACCCTACGGCCCTCTCTACGCCTATCAAACCTTTGTTAGAAAATTTGTTCCTCTGATCAATAATTTGAGAGATATTTCAGGTGGTATATCAGGCCTCGCCCAGTATAGTATCTAATAAAACATCATGGTTTATAGTAACAATTATAGTTTGAGATGCTAATAAAGTAACATGTGTAGACAGGATAGATATTAACTAAGAATTATCAAGCAAAGATAGAAATGCGGGTCGACACCCTGAGGAGCTGCGTCAGTATAACGAAATCCTATTACATACATACGTGGTAAAATATTCTATAAAAGGTTCCAAGAATATACTTGGGATAGCCAACGTTCCAGGAGTCGCGTTTGAAGGTCGCCTTGAACTATGGAAGGGATTTTGGGGATGGAATGAGAGGGTGCTAGTCCATGCCAGCAAGTAAAAGTGCAATATCTATAGATGCTGTTCGTCATCGAGCGGGGGCTCCATTCATGGTTTCCAAGCGCAGGCGCTCTAACGAGTAGTCGCATGGCGTTGGCGTTACGGGGTCGGGGTAGTTCGTTCAAGGGAGGTTGGAGGTCGTGGGCGATCGAAGGATCATGCAGCATCCCTTTCGTGTTAACATTTTCTAGCATTCTCCCCACTCTCTCTCCTCTCTCTCTCTCTCTCTCTCTCTCTCTCTCTCTCTCTCTCTCTCTTTCTCGTCCTCCCTCTCAGATTCTCACAAATTCTCTCTTACGTTTTAATACACCCATCCTTTTTTTTCTGGTAATCTGATCTGTAATCTGAATTTTTTTCTGATCTCGCAATCAGATAATCCATATACCTACGAGAGTAAGAGAAACGTATGCTAAGAGAGAATGAAAATGATAGGACCGTCGCGGGGCTGATCCTTCAACCCCCTAAAAACAGCCGCCTACGTATCAACCACGTACCACCATCTCCAACAACCCCATGGGATGCAAACGCTCGTGGAATTCCTCATCTAATTCGCTTGCCGTTGAGTAAGAGGAATTCAAAATTGATCTAAAAGATTCTCTGGTAAGATTCACTTGCCCTGTATATTCCCTGGTAAAAGGTTGATAAGTCATAGGTGCATTTCTTGGATCGTGACCTTGAATTTTCTTCATTTGCCTCATATATATCTTTTCTATTGTAGCAACAAACAATACTAAATAATAGCACGATAGTTTAGACAAAATTGTAAATACTTTTACAAGTGCTAAAAATATTCAGAGATAGGGATCCTTTTAATGGTTTTATAAATAGAACGAAGTTTGTGATAACGTTAACGTACGTATCTTTCTACATTCTGTTCCAGAAACAGCAGATCTATATCGACTATTACGTACTATACTTTCTTTGACCTGTATCGAGATTCACATTCGGTAAATAGCAATTCTGTTTATTCGTCGACCCCGGTTCTCGGGCGTTCATCGTAACAATATCTTCTATAATAAATATTGTATTGTACGTAGCTGTATATATTTTACATACAATTCAAAACAATGAGGTATGTACGATCACACACGTAGAAAATTATTGTATATAATTGTTAAACACACGCATCCATAGCGTATAACTCGCTCAAGTATCATAGAGTAACATGTATGTGAATGATATCAGAACAGTCGTAATGAATTCCAAATACATTGCATTTTGTAGGAGCAGATATTCTCGGTCGACTATGATCAACTTCTGTTAACAATTTTATGAAGATTCTTCCCAAAAAGGGATGAATTTTATCACAGAATTTGTATATTTATATAAACAATCGACTGCATACGTGTAACCAGATAAAGAACTGTAATCATTGATGATATTGCTTCGAAGGTTAGTATAATCACCGAAGTATCTCCACCCGAACCTATGATACAAATATGGAATGCCCGAACATAGCTCAATTTCATTATTCCAACCGTTGATGTTTTGCAGTAGTCAGAATATAAACTTTGCGAATATTGGACACTGGAGGGGAACATAAGCGCGGTAGAATTTTACGCATCCTATATACACTATCAAACGAAGGGTGCTACTCTAGGGACTTTATATTAGGCATCCTAGGAATGGGTCTATCCAGGTCTATCCTACACACACAACAGCAGACATAGTAGAGTGGAACTGTAATAGGGTAGGTAAAAGTACGTGTACTGGGGAGGGGCGATTCTGTGTAGGGAGACTTACCGAGTAGAGGTGTTGGGGTGAAAAAGGCCCAGAGTGGGGACGAGAGGCCCGGAGGGGTGGAAAACCTTTAAGCAGAGTGGGAGGCAGCCCATGTCGAATAGCACGACTCAGTTTCAGTACGAACAAGAGAACCGAGAAGAGAAGTTGTCTGTCTTGTTTATCGCTTGTCTTACAAATCGACACGACCCACGCGAGTAGAGTCAACAATAATAATAACAAAACTAAATCGTACGTAAATTATTCTTGTCCTATTTAATTCCCCGCTGTTTTTGATCTCTAGCGGTGTACTGAAAAGAAAGCGTAGTTAAGCGAAACCATATATACACCAAAGTCTATAAGAGTATATTCGCGTTATCTAAATAAAATAAAGATATATTGTATAACAATACGTAATAAAGATTCCTATCGCAATTTCCATAAGTATTGTATAATTGTGAAAGTTATTGGCATTCTTCGACGTGTGTTTGTTTATGCGTGAGATCGTTTATCCAGTGTACATACATTGCAGCACGCTACCGGCCGGCGTGTTATGAAAAGTCCTTTGACAGTTAAAAGGTAATAATTTACTCTGTTTTATATACTGCAAATACAATTTTTGTGATGGTTTGGACAGTACATCATTTTACCAATCAGACTAAAATTTTCATGCAGGCTTATATGTGACGTCACGTATATACTTATAACAAATCACAATACATTAGAATTTATACAATGTCTAGAATTCAGTTTCGATTCCCTTCTAGAACCTAGTGTCACCATTCGAAGTCTCAGAATAAACAGGAAAATGTTCTTCGCACTTTTGAACTTTTTGACAACTCAATTACATGGGATTCAAAATGCAATGGGGTATCCCTTGAATATTTGTTGTTTTTGCTAATTTTGTATGTATTTAAACTTTTCTTGTATTATTATTCACTTTCAAATTAAACTTTTACAGTTAATTCTGATCAGATCAACCCGTCATAGAAAATGGCGAAGGCGACCCATGCGTTATACCTGTATTTGTAATAATTTTGCGTGCATGTAACGTTTTGAATCTGAGCTATTGGGGGCAACTACCCGGTATCTTTTGGACTCTGACGAAAGTGAAAACGAGATCAGTAAACTTTGTTGATGTTTCTATATATATATTATTTGGCAACCCCCTTTTGGTAGAAGAAAGGACTTAGCTCTGTGTAATAAGCAAATAATTTAATCGTAATCGCATTTTAGTTCTGAGTCGAAGCTTGGTTGCGATTTATCCGAATATTAACTGTTTAATAAATTTATTAAACATTTGTGAAATCTGAAATTTTGTGCAGGGCGAGAGAAGATTTAATATTAGAATATTATATACCTTCGTTATACTCTGCAAATCGCGGTAAGGATAACTCCAGTTATCTTGTAAGTTGGTAAGGCATTTAAAATATTGTAAATAATGTTATAGTATTTTATATTGGATATAGAATACAAGAGAAGCTTGTAGCGTTACATTTGATAATTAAAATTGTTTTTTATTTGTTTGGTAAAGAAAGGAAAATTTAGGTATATATATTTTCTTTGACTAATAAATGAAGAATATCGAAATAGATCGAAGCTTTAGGCAATATGGCAATGTAGTGTTGATTCGAAACCATTTCTTAAATGCAGAGTTAGGGCAAAAGAAGAATTCAATGGAAAAGGTCGGATGAGTTGCTAGGCCTACCGTCTCCACGTAACTAATGTGGTATTTAAGTATATATATTTTTATAATGTTAATATTATCCACATTAAGATATAGTGCTATCCTTTTTTCCTTTGCCTTTTTTAATGAATTTTTTCTTCTCTGGAATCATTTTCGATCTTTAGTGAACTAAAAATACTCGAAGAGTTGTACACTCGGCTTCTGTACCCACGCACTCATTTTACGTATCTACCTAGAACCTCAATTCTGTGATATAGCTAAGGTTTCTCCCTTAGAACCTCTGGGATCTTCCAGTTCGCCCTGCGCAGATACGCGTCATGCGTGCTTCACTCACCATCCTTGAATTCCCAATATTCAACCCGGTCGTATTTTCCTTTCGCTATGACCTACCTCACGCGTGGTGAAACGCAGGCAGGTTCTCTGACGGTTTTCCAAGATGCAAGTTGTACGTTTCTCAATTTTATTCTTCTTTCCCCTTCTAAACTTGTTTCTTTGCTATTTTATTTTCTCATTTCTAGCTCTTCCCAATATTTTTCTGCTATTATTCTTCGAAATATCTAAGGTAATATGTATATGGTACTGAGGGGTTTAAATAATTTTGTGCATTTTACAAATAAGTTTTAAGAAGTGTTCCAGTACTTGAATAAAATATTCGTGGTGTTTTCATGGCTGTCAAAGAGATTTCTTTATATTATTTTTCTCTTAAGATCACTTATTCTTGTGTCCTTCAACTTATCTTTAATTTTCCAGACTAGACTCTCAGTACACATGTTTTACCAGTACATACAGTGTTTAGCTTGCAGAGTAGATAAGTTATCGACTACTCACAACGTACAGTGGCGTAATCTATACGTAGGGGTTGGAATAGTCTAGAAGAAGAGATCTCCTTATATTGTATTATTTATATTCTTTGAATAGTAACACTCATAAACATGGTAATTACAGGGAATAGAGAGATTTTATGTATGTCATTCCTCGTTCTGAAAGTTTTAGAATAGGGTAGAGGATTTAATATTTCGTGCACGGGGGAACCTACAATATGATTTGCGGCTTCTCGGAAGCTCAAGCATTTTGAAGACGAAATAAAATTCTTTTCACGCCTCCATTCGAATTTCCGCTTCACAGATGTCACCGTTTGTTCGTGTACTTAAAATTCACGTCTACCATAATTCACTGAAGAGCTGATACGTACAAAATTTTCAAAACGTAGTACGCAGGAATGTTTCCCCTATAAGTGAAATCCTCTGTGCGGTTGCATAGTCACATCTCTTTAGTTAAGCTATTATTGTGCTACTTTTACACCTAATATAGGACACACCCATGACATAGCGAACTTAAACAAAAATGAGAAGAAAGATCATAATAAGAAAAATCGATAATTCCGTAAAGAATTTGATTACTGAATAATAAATGCTATTGGAATTCATACCTTAATGGTTTTCATAAATAAAGTGAAACTGTATATAAATGAGAGGAGGATTCTCTGTAATTGCACATGACTGATATTGAGTAATACGAGGTGAGTTAACAGAAATAATGTTAACCTCTACGCGCTCCTTGAATATAGTATTTGGTAAAAGCAGCTCATGCATCTGGGGATGGATTGGGGATAGTCGAATGAGTAAGCTGAGTGAATTTGGTATTGATTATTGGTTTCAAAAAATTTGAGGGTTTTGGTCTTTCCTCTCTTCGTCTGACTACGTTTCTCCCCCAATCTCTCGTTCCCAAAGATGCGGCAATCCAATGGGGTGATTTTGGATAGAAGTGACGTCCATACAGAAGGTAGTCGCTATGAGAGTGATTCACGGTGAGTCAACTTTTGTTATCCATCATGTTTCTGTTTCCTATTTCCGCAGATCACTTTTGCAAGTTGCATTTGTCAAATGAAAAATTTTTGCCAGTTTGAACTCGCATTGACGCTTTCAATTTTAATTGGCTTGTTTATTATCGCATTCCTCGTCGCACATCGGATTATAAAAATATCTATTTACGATTACATTTGTGTACATACTTCATGATAGATCAGAATAGTCTACCGAAATGGCCGTTAATTGCAAACCGTGTCCCAATTAACATCAGTTGCGGACCTCCAGAAGTCCAGGATTCAGTTTTCCGTCATCATAGAATCCCGTAAGAACGTTGAAAAGCAGCATGGAAGAGCGGTCGAAATAGTAAGAATAGAATAGTTATCGCTCCTAGATAATCGCGTGGGTCCCGGAAAAAAATGGCGCTTGGTAAATTTCTTGAAGGAGAGTGCCGACCTGAGTTTCCAACAAAGTGACCGACGGTTCGTGATTGATGCGTCTCTTGGGAAGGTAGGTTGAGCCTTAGGGCCCCGGTAAAGACGGCTCAGACCCTCCCCATTCTCTCCTTTCTTCTTCCTTCTCGGAAATAGGGCTGTTTTCTCTTTGAGGAACCCTAGTGGCAGCGGTAAGGGCCCAGGATGTATATCTGCCCGACAAATGTTATACACCCGCCTTCCCGCTCCGTCAACCCCCGTGCAAAGGGCCACCGGAAAAACCATCTCTTGAGAGCGGGAGAATGCTTCACGATTGGCGCCTTCTTACTCTCTTTTCCTCTTGTTGTAGTCGTTTAACTATTCGTTTTTTCTCATTCTTGGTACCCTGTATCCTACCTGACCCTGACCCTGACCCTGTCACAGCCACCCCCGTTTACCTCGTCATACTGCATTGCAATATACTCCATTCGGCTTGTCCTCTCAATAGTCCGTGCCTTAACCTGGGACCAGAGCTGGAAACATCCCTTACGCACATTCCCTCTTATGTTAGTTCCATTTATATCTGGTGTCCACGTCCTTACTCTCGTGCATCACAGATGGTAACGACTGTACATAAATTGGAAACTAGACAACAATATTTGATGCTTGATACTTCGTCATTATATTGATACTAACTTGGTACCTCACGAAGAATTGGGATACTGACAATTTATTATTAATTACGTTTAACTGCATAGTATAGTAACGTATCGCTCTTGAAATAATGACTTGGAAATCATCAGAGAAAGATATACTATTGTCTTTAGTCCCTTGTCTCTAATGTTATGTCACGTATATGTCTACCGTAAGAAAGTCATTCGTTTTTCTATAATAAATATATAGGAATAGGCAATTATAGTGATCAGATCGATTTTTTCGGAAATGAAACCAAATATAAAAAGATGTTTTAGACAGAAGTTGTATGGTTTAAAGGGGGACGGAAGATTCTGTTATTGAGTTGCAGGTCGCAGGCCAACTTTCATTTTTTCAATAGGATGATGCAATTTTTCATGCGCAAATCAAATGAGCTATTCAATTTTGAGTCTAAAAGTACAAATACATTAATGACTCAAAATTAGCAAGTGATAAGATAAAGTGAAAAATAAAGAATATCCGTTCTCTACATTACTTGGGATCTATTATCTATTATCCCCCCTCTCTCAACCTCTTCTCACCCCATTCTACAAGGAATTCGGGTCCTAGTGGAGCGCGAAACGCGACGAAATTTAAGCCAAACATCTTTTTAACATCCTTAGCCAGTTAATGGTCCTAGTCAAGTTACGTTTTAAGCCGCATGCACAATGTGCTTCAGGTAAGTAAGTAGGATATTAGAAACGGATATTTTTTCTTACTTTTAAAATAAAAATTAAACTAGATTTAATTGAAACCCTACAACTTCTTTCTGTAACATTTTTTTATATCTGGTTTCGTTTCTGAAAAAATCTACCTATTCACTGTAAATGCCCCACCCTGTATATAGATGCGTGTCCTCTTAGCACTAAGTTTAGTTTAATTTTTGTTTTCATTTCCTTGCATGTGTGATTTAGAAAGCGGGCAGATAGTATCTGATTGATGGACTTCCGTCTGTTTTTATTTCAAATTTCATTATCCAATGCTTGATTTGTACTTTAAATAACAAGAAGATGAATCTTAATGTAACCGGTCACTGTATATGACCGATCGGATATCTACTGACAATAACTACTAGACTAGTCTCATGCTTGATTCTCATTATCATTAGTAGAAGAACGACGAATAAACAATTTTCCAAGAACGTATTATTTTTTTCAATTTTCCATAACTATAGTTATGCTCTTGTTAAAGATAGCGGCTTGTGTATATACACTGTATAGGTACCATGTATTCTCATGAATATTTACTATTGACAAAATGCAGACACGTTTGAGTTTTGAAGCCTGGATAACCCATGGTTTTTTTCCGTTAGTTTTCTTTTCCTAACATTTGGTATTAACATTCAGGATCATATACGGTGTCCTACCATGTTACGCAGGATGCCGGTCCTGGCCATAGGACGCTATTGCGCTCCTCCAGTTGAACCGCATAAGAAACGGGGCCTTTGTATTCTTTCGTATGTATAAGACGAAGGATGCGAATTTTCCCGTTGGTTATTGATTTCTAAATGGAAGCGGAGGGGACCCCATTACTGGATCCCGGGTCCCGCAGGTTTCTTCGTGTACTATACATATATTTTTCTTATTCCACCATGGGACCCAATGTCTACCGACCCGTAAGGCTGTAGCTATATTTATGTTATGGGTGGGTACCTATATATATTCCAATTGTGAGGGTAGATCAGACGGGTTTTTTCCCTACTCCATTTTCTTTTTCTATTTCTTTCTGTCTCTCTGAAGATCAACGCTGCGGTCCTTTAATTTGCATAAGGGTCAATGAGAGACCTTGTAACCAGTTTTGAATAATCATGCTCCGATTCGTGTGTATGTATATATATTATAGTTGAGTCAAGAAGCGGATAGATTTCGGGATGTATTGGCTATCTATAAAATGATGAAAACAAAGTTGTGTTAAGGGAAATACGATGCATCCTGGTGCCATCTTATGGGAGACATAACATTATTTTAGTTTTTTATGTCTCTCTTGAGAATTATCGCGAGGTCCTTTCGTTTTTTTTTTAAATATGTGACAATGACAATGTGCGTCATAAACATTGTAAATAGTATTGGATATAACAAATAAAAAAATCTATAATACATTTGTTTTTATTACAGACCCAAGCATCTAGTAGGATCCGGGACATAATCAATCCTTTCGGAAGCTCTCGAGGCTTGCTGCAGGCTGCACAATGAGTCATGGGAAGAATTATAATCGAGGAGTCAGTCTTGCCAGTCCACCGTTCTACGACCTGGATCTACGCACCCGTGGTACAATGGGGTTCATGAATTCACCGTCCCGTCAGCAACCTAGTCCCGCCAAGATGCCATGGCAGTGCGCTACGAGGTCCGGATATTCCAGCGTCAGTCCTCCGGGAACATCATCCTCGGGTAGTAGTGCAACTTCTCAGTGTTACGGTAGATCACCGGACGATCTCAGTGTCGATAACCTTATAAACAGTCTCCTGCATGCAGTTAACACCGATTGTTTTGCCACATGCGGACCTTGCGACTCCCGTCGTGCACCAGGTTTGACACTTGGTCTCCCCAGGTGTCGTGACTGCACGGATACACCCTGTGACTCCTGCCTAGCCTGCCAGCAGGTACTTATATCGAACATCATCAGTTTGCAAGTAAGAATGCGTTTGTTACATCGCATTTTCTGATATTTTATATGGCTAAATGTTTGCTGACATTATATTCTTTGTAATTCATTTTATTCTAGAACCGCCTTGGTGGAAATCTCCTGCTTGAAAATCCTGGGGGACACTCCAATCCTGTGGAGATTCTCAGCCCTCCATTGGTACATGTTGCCGGATCACCACCACCACCCAGTACGGCGTTCTATTGCGAGATACATCGCGATGCACAGAGATATTATTGTCAAACCTGTAGCCGGCCTCTTTGTGGTGATTGTGGTACGCATCATCATCATGGACATATTACTATCCATCTGGTGGAAGCTGTCGAAGGGGCTGCGGTTCAGGCCAATCAAGTTATGAGCGAAGCAAGATTGGGGATAACTGCTTTGAGAGATGATCTCGATGCAGTCCAAGTAAGCATGTTCACCGTAATTTTTAGGATTGCATGGCGTTAACAGTAAGACTATAATACATGGTTATCAAATTGTTAGGTAGCTGCTGAGACATTAGAGCAAAAGGCACGTCAGGCTACGGCTGACGTAATGTTATGCGTGAGAAGAGTAGCTTCTGCTTTGGAAGCAAGAGAGAAAGATTTGCTCGGAAGAATCGAAAAGGCACGATTGCTGAAATTCGCTGCTCTTAAGGCACGTGATGAGGGACTCAGACACGGGATTGCACGACTCTCCAGAGCAATGGATAAATTGGGAGAGTCTATGGAAGCATCAACATTATCAAGCAATCCATTAGACCTGCTGGTTACCAAAGATATGGCTTCTGCTGAGGTAAATGGAATCTTCCACAAGAAAAAATCTTAGCTAAGGATCTGTATTGAATTCCGAGTATGTTTATAAATTTATCATTCTGATCTTAGGTGTTTCAAATTCGTCAGACTCGCCAGAACCTGCCACCGCCAGAAGAAAATTGGATCTCGTTCACAGGTCCTGAAGGAGCTGTAGTACACGCCATCGCAAATCTGGGATCCATCGTTGTGAACAATCCTGGACCAATCGGCGATCGCCGTGCGGTTCGTGGTCGCGGAAGTTCACCTCAAATATATCAGCAACCATCTCAGATGATTCCATTGGGTCCTGTTCCTCGAGGAAGACCAATACCACTGAGTACCTTTCCCGTGACTGTCCGCACTGGTCGTGGAAATGGCAACAAGTTACCAATCAAAGTGATCGGCAATGACGGTGATGCGCGAGAAAATCTCTGCAGACCCTGGGGCGTTGCTTGCGATAAGGACGGAAACATCATCGTCGCGGACAGATCAAATAATCGCATTCAAATCTTCAGACAAGATGGAAGCTTCATTCGGAAGTTTGGTACCCATGGAACAGCACCATGTCAATTCGACAGACCTGCTGGCGTCGCCGTTGACGGTCGACGTCGCATAATCGTCGCAGACAAGGACAATCATCGCATCCAAGTCCTCACTATGGAGGGTCTTTTCCTACTTAGCTTCGGAGAAAAAGGCTGTCGCTGCGGTCAATTCAACTACCCCTGGGACGTCGCCGTAAACTCAGAATGCCAAATTGTCGTATCGGACACGCGAAATCATAGAGTCCAATTATTCAGCGCTGAGGGTATCTTTCTACGTAAGTATGGATACGAGACAACACCAAGTATGTGGAAACATTTCGATTCACCACGTGGAGTCGCTTTTAATCCCGAGGGCAACGTTGTCACAACTGATTTTAATAATCACCGTGTAGTCGTGATTGATTCTGATTTTTTAAACGCTAAAGTCCTCGGATGCGTTAGCGGCGCAAACACATCCGGCAATAGTGGTACTAAACAGTTTCTGAGACCTCAGGGTCTCGTCATTGACGACGAAGGCAACATCATTATTGCCGATTCGAGGAATCATCGTATTCAAATATTTGATTCGGCCGGTACGTTTAAGTGGAAATTTGGCAGCTATGGAAAGGGTCCTGACGAGATGGACCGTCCATCTGGTATCACATTAAGTCCTGATGGCAGAATTGTGGTTGTTGATTTTGGCAATAATCGTGTTCTACTGATCTAATTTCCATATATCAGTATGAATGTGTCATCTTGGATCACACTTGATGTTTCCAATATCACAAAACACGTTTAAGCCTCCATCCACTACTTCAATTATTATCATTACTACACTGAAACTATTACTACTACTACATTATTATTATTATTATTATTATTAACTATTATTATCTTAAAAATTATTTTTATTATTATTACACAAGACTTCTGTTCGAGCGTTTCGAATGCTCGCAGATTCTTGAATTGAAAGGAAAGACCAAATTAACGAGATTATTTCTCTGCATTTTTCTAATGAATGAAAGGACTGACTTGCTTATCACGTTGGCATCTATATTTTCAAAGATACCAACGCGAGACGTTTAAATATTTTTACTTGGTCCATCAACATGGATACGAGCGGTGAAAAATCAATTAGAATATTCCTCACCAATGGCATGAGTTCGGTTTTCGTTGTTTGTTTCCTAAGGTTTTTTTTTTTGTAATTACCCAATAACTATAATTCCTTTCGACAATTCGAGTTAAATCGAAGAACTGACGGTTCATTCGTTCGTTCTTTTGTTTCTTTGTGTGAAAAAAGCGAAACGAAATACACACAATTTTTATCTTTTATTTAAATTTAAATGAAAAAGCCGTTCCAAACGAGACAATTGTCTGAAAGCATGGGATGCGTATTGCTTTTGCTTCCCCTTTATGTGAATTTCTTTTTCATGAATACATAAAAAAGATGGCGCTGTGTACCAAAATTCGATGAATGATCAATAGATCATTGATTAATATTTCATATAATTGATACGCGTAGAGTATAACTTTGCACGTGTTGATTAGGATCAGCAGTTAGGTCCGAGAGATGATTCTCAATTTTTTAAAGACAATGTTTTCATTATAGGTAATATAACTTTAAATACGGCTCCATGGAGCAAAAGATTTGTTTTTGTTCCCTTTTCTTAAATATCTATTTTTCCTTTTAAGTTATCAGAGTGCTAACAAGCTAAATTCTTTTCCTGCTGGCGATTATTATGCTCTTTAAAAAATTTCTTAATCTGGTGCCTCACGTTTAAAATACACTTTCGTTATTTAATTTACTTAATTTTTTTCTAACTTTTCAAGGCAGTTTTCATATATAAATAATTTTTACCCTCTCTTCTCCCAAGCTTTCATTGGTTCATGTTCGTACTTTTCGAATCGATATGATCGTCGATCTAACAATGCGGTCGACGATATCGAAATCGGTTGATTATACCCCCAACGCCCGGGTGATCCTGTGATAACAGTCTAGAACGAGCGAGCGTTGGAATTTTCTGATTAATGTACATGGAAATTATATAGAAAATGAGTCTTCTTATTCATTCGATTGGACGATCTACTATCATATAATAGCGAGACAAATGTGTATGTGAACGCGCAGACGCGCGCGCGCAATTACACACACACACACACACACGCACACACAATTTCTTGATCAAATATTTTTTGGTACGAATAGTCTAAAAAAGAAGGTAGAAAAATTAACAAGAGCCCCCCACCCCTTCCCCTCCTACCGCTGTTACTTAAGTATAGTAGATGTGGGAAAAGCTTGTAATGGCCGAGTCTTTTTACTATTATCGTAACCTGTGTTCTGACATCTTATTTTTTCTTGTCTTATTATTAATGTTATTCTATAATTGATTATCAATTATTCTTCTCACTGCGTATTATCACCTTCGAGATTTATATACTCTGAGGCCGCAAAAAAGGATTAATAAGGGACTTCTATGTGTAGTAATTATTTTATCCCTCTTTCCCCGTTTCGTAAGGGGACTAAAACGCGTATATTAATAATTTAAGGGAGTGATGCACAATTTCCACATCAAAGGGCAAATTGGTGGTGTAGCAATGGTGACAAGGGAGAGAGAAATAGATTGAGAGATATAAGCAGACTTAAGGAATGAATAAAAGAAAAGAGGAAAACGCAGAGGGAGACAGAGAGAGAGAGAGAGAGAGAGAGAGAGAGAGAGAGAGAGAGAGAGAGAGAGAGAGAAAGCGCGCTGTTGTTTCCCCAATGTAAATCCTGCTATGCTATGAAAAACTTGATAGCGCCATTATCATACGATACAAGAATTAACGAAAATTTATTTCAAATGCATGTACACAATTAGTTTTCATTACACGTTATTACATACACGATAAATGTAAATGGCGTGGTGACACGTGGGATACAACGTACACGCTCATTGTTCCATTTGCGCTTTTTATAATATTTTTTATTGTGACGAAACAAAGAGAAATATTGATTGCATCCACACAGTAAGACTGAACCAAGACTGAATAATATGCAAAGTTCTGTTGTATGTTGTCCAACACATTAAAGATGATTGAATGAGAGATGATGAAGATGAAAAAAGAACTATAATAATCATATATAATTGTATATAAGGATCTTTATTAAGGATATTACATGTGGGCCATCCAAGTTGCATTCGTATCTGATGTCCGTTTTCTGGACCTTTTGAGTATATAATAAATAAATAAATAAATATATATATGTGTATATATATATATGTATATGTATATATATATTTATGGTGAGGCTGAGAGTGAAAGAGAGAGTGAGAGATATCGAGACAGAGATTTTGAGAATAGGAGAAAAAACGTATACTTTTGTATGTGAACTTCAACGTGATAATAGCATTTTATTTGTTATTTTCTTTTAATTTTTTTTTGCTTTCTTTTTGGGGAAGTTTTTAAACCGTCAGCTGCTTCGCTACTTTTTAACTATCCTTGGCTGTTTTCCCCTATTTGAGTGAAAGACACGAAATTAGATGATTTACATAACAATCGAAGTTTTTCTTCTATCGAATAGAGGATACTTGAAATTCTCAGACTTAGACGATGCTGTCTTACTATTTCTTTTTTGAAACCTCTATTTTGACAACCTTTTTACATTTTCATATTTGAAACTTGGTTCCGTCCTTTGTTTCATTTCTTCAGCCTTTTTTTATATTGTAGCACTTTCCTCCCTTTGATTTTTTTGAGAGCGAATGCATTGACGGTACCTTAAAGAATTTACCGACATCGAGACGTTTTATTCTCTAATCCAGCTGACACTTCGACAGATTTAAAGTTATTCTCCAATGTCGCACTCTTGTTTTTTACGGTTAGAATTTAAAGATACGCAATGTCTTGCTCAAGAATTACCATTATTATATCATTATTACCCTCCCTCCCCTTCCTTTGTACCTACAGTCAACGTTAACCTAGTCACACTCCAAATAGATTTTTGATAGAAAGTGAAACTAACCACTAACGAGATTTCGTTTATGCTATACGAGATCAGGTATCTTGGTTTCTTCTATTTCTTTTGTGTAACTCACGCGAGGATACTTATGTTTGTCGACGTCTGTATTGCAAAAATATTTCGTTAGTTTTCTATTCGCACACAATTGTTGCACTATTTAATATCAAAAATTTGTTCATAAGGATTCTTCGAGTACTCGAACTTTCCAAAAAGTGTAATGAAAATCACTTTCCACGATTAACGTAAAAGCGACAATGGCGCGATCGTTCATAATAAATCGGTTTCTATTCTAAGTCTTCGTCGTGTCGCCAATCATATACCATAACCTAAAAAGCGAGCCAAATAAATGATCCCTTTTAGTTTTTATTTGACTAACGCTACAGTGGGCGCGTTCGGGGTTTGAATGAAAAAGAAAATACAAATCGTAGACACGATACTCGATATTCCTTATTATGATTTATTTATTTTGTAACGTTCTTAAGTGAGCTTTATCAAGGGCCACATCATAATGTCGATCGATCCAATGAATATAACAATCGACGGATTTCAATGTTTATAATACAAGTTAAATGATTAAAATTTGTATAGTTTCAAGTTCCAAAGCCCGAACGCTGTTCAACGCGTAAGAATTTCGAAAATGTGTGATTTTATACATTCGGACGCATGCGCACATGATACACACGTATACGTAAGCGAACAAAATTTCACACTACTAATGTATGTACACGTGTACATGCACGCACTGTAAGTTTAATTATTACAATCGAAAGGTAGGTGCGTGCGATTACATGTTTAATGATTTTCGTAAAAATTTGGTTAGCGCGCAAAAAATTCTGTGCAACAAGAAGATGGGCAATCAGCGATCACGCGTTATCGGAATGCCTATCACAATGTACAAAGCTAACTTTTAGGTTGGCAAAATTATTAGGAGAGTTTTTCAGTATGATTGAGAGACAGAGAGTGATAGTGAAAGTGAGAGTAAGAGTAAGAATATAAGGTAGATAAGGAGAGACGCGCAAGTTGAAAGCTATCGAAGAAGAGTGCATGTGATATAATTGTAGTAGAGAAATGTTAGCGCGAAAGATAATGGGAAACAAGATAAAGAAGAATGTGAGATAGAATGTAAAGGTAAAAAAACGATAAAAACTAAATGATTGTTGTGTGTACTCGAGGGCAAGAGAATGCAAAAATAATTGAAATGATGAAAACTTTAAAGAGAGAATGAGAGAGAAATCGAAGTAAAAGTAAATCATTGTAATAGTCATTGCATGGTGCATATAATGCTGAAGGAATACGTACGTACATTATATCTATTCGGAGAATTGTGTACGATTCATTAAAAACCGTTTAGCCTGCCTCTAAAACTCGTAATGTTGTAGAAGTAATAAAATTAATTGAGATAACTAGAGTTTATTAATATTAAGGAAAGTCGTCAGCTACCAAAATGATGAAATTATTGTTAAACCGCGAGTCCCTATAAAAGGGCGCACCGGTTTGTTTGCATCGCTTCTTCGTTTCGTGTGAGTGACATAAAAACTCTCTAAAGAATTGGAAAAGGGGAGAAATTATGAAAATAATTTTTAAAAAACACAAAACGAGAGAGAGAGAGAGAGAGAGAGAGAGAGAGAGAGAGAGAGAGAGAGAGAGAGAGTGTAACTGAAGAGTTAAAAAAGGAGGATTTAGGATTATATAAACGGAGTAAACTGAGGATTTAGGATTGTATAAACGGAGTAAACTGAGCAATACAAAGTCGCCACAACAGGTGTGCTACCGTTACGAGCATAAGGGAAGTAAGAGGAGAAGATTTTTTTGTCCTTACTTTTTGATCTTTCTTTTTTTCTTTGTTTGTTACGCAACACCCTCTCACGGTGCGTGATACATATATAATTATATATATCGTGCATATACAGATATTCATATATCCAGCCTCTTGGCTGTGATTATGTTTCCCGATTAGCCACTCTCTTTCTTATTTTATACGTATTAGATAGAAAGATACTGAAGAAGCGGAAGCCACATTGTCGTATCTCTCCCATAATAATAATAACAACCTCAACAATAACAACAAAAATAATAATATTGTTCTCGAGATGAATGTTATAAATAATTTATATGATCGCCAGAGCTTTGTCAATCTTAATGAACAATTGGAATAATCGGGTTGGGACAATGCGACGTGGTAAGTCGTATAATTATTATTGCAACTATTATATTATTATCATTAATAACGCTACCCTGCTGCTTGCTTGTTGTCGTCGTCGTTGTTATTATTATTATTATTATTATTATTTCTATTACATTGATAATTTTATTACTAATGATCGGTCATTATTTACTATTACTCTTATTACAATAATTATATATGTAATATACATTTTAAGGCTAATCGAGTAATCGGTAACTTCGCACATTAACCGATTCATCGCGATTATCGTGCCGCTTTCTTCATGACGCGAGACAAAAAGTTCCTACCGTTTTCTTTAATAACATTTGCGATTATTTATACATGATAATTATAATCACTTTCTTGTAATTGCAATGTGCGCATAAAAGACACTCGATACGCAGATCGAATCATCTAATTATTGTAATATTGTTAAGGTGATAATAAACAAAATCAAATAAAAAGTTAAAAAGGTGCAAAATAAAAATATAACTTACCCCTTTATTTGACTAATCGAATATTTATTCCTATTTGTCGCATAGGGTAATGTTTGTTGTCTTATGAGCGTATCGGTTTGTGTTTCACTGTTAAAGGGGAAATGGAAGAAGTGATTTGTTAGGTGAGTTGTGTCACACGGACGATTCTGGCAGCGAGAAAACGTCGTATCCAAAAGTCACATAATTGGCTATACGAGAACAATTCTGAGTGATACGGTGTAAGGATCGTAGATGTAAAACTTTCCCTGCGTATCTTTTTTTTTTATTTTCATTGGTGGTTTTCTACAACAGTGCGGTAAGTGTCATGTAGATATTGAATAACAAAGGTATTGTCGGGTAGCCATGACAGATACATAGGCTGTCACTTTCGAGATTCAGTTATACATATATTTTCTAACAAATAATTGAATAATTCAATTTTGCGTAATAAAAATAAAACAAAAATAATATGATAGCAAAAGTAGTTTCTATCCCTGACGTACACACTCGGTCCTATAACGGTCGTATCGACTCACCGAAAGCTTTCCGACCCTCGTCGGAGAGGTACAAAAGAAGTCTTAGATCCGATTTTTCTCCCCAATCAATAATTTTGTGTTAAGGTGATCTGGGAAAGGATAAAACATCTATCATAGTCAGTAATTCTTTAATGACAGTTCTAGTAGGGTTTTAAATTACAATTCTGGGTCGTTACGAGCATTGTGCCTCCTACGGAACATTCATTTTCAAGAGAAAGTACTATTTTGTAAAACATTCACAAAAATCCCCTTTTTCACGTCTACAGTAAAAAGAAAGTAACTAAAGTTTCAAAAAAGTTTGCATAAAAGTAACTAGTGTGGTTTATGCATGCGCAGTATTTTTTTCTTATACCTTACTAAAAAAGTGGCACTTTCACCATACTTTACGAGTGTTGTTAAAAAAAGAACTTACGTAATTATTATCTTCCAAATTTGCCGAAATATTTGAGGAAATATGCATTATTAGTTAGGTTACATGTATTACTTGCAATAACAACAATGAATATGAACTCGAAAAAATCGGATAATTTTTGTATTTTTTTTCTAACGTCTTGAATTCGTCATTTTGGTTTTCGGAAATCTGTACTTTAGCGTGATAATGAAAGAACTAGAGAGTAGGCGGTGTGGGGCGAAAGCCCATGCTATTTTAAATTAGCTACTGCGTTGAATACTGTCGAATGTCGACGAATTGACCACGTAAAATTAGCCGTTTAAAAATTACAGTAGATTGTTTATAAAGAATTTTATTCACCGTTTAAAGAATAGGTTGTAATTGCTAAACGACCAACACTACAAAAAACCATGTGGTGAATTCATAGAACAGCTTTCAAGAAACAGCATGAGCTGTAGCCCATTAAAATCGGTTCGAAAATGTACTTCTATGAAAATTAGCATTGATCACTTAATGCTCTAGCAAATACGTTGCTGTTAATGTTCCTCTATGTTAAGGGCACATGCTGTAATACAAATCGTACTACACAACTGTCAATTAACACATTTAACTTTGTAAAATTCATTGTAAAAATGTAGCTGTTATTTGATACTGTGCAGCGCAGTAGCTATGTTAAATATTAATATTTAGAAATGAAATTTTTGAAGTATAAAAACGAAGCTTACTCATGTATTTAGTAACAACCATTTAAAATATTTAATTATTTTTATTACTACGAGTAAAAAATGGAATTGGCAAACGTCATCCTCAATATTTTCCATTTTTCATTGTAACGTTCAGAATAGTCCATTTTATCGTTTAAATATATTTTATTCAATGTCTGAACGTTTTTTTTTCACCGTATAATAACAATATTAACTGTTTCACATAAGAACCTGCGCATAAGCTGCTGATTTTAGAATTAATTTTCTCAAAAACGACATGATAAACTTTTCAAATAATTGTAAGCGTTTTCAATTTTACTGATGAACGCTGGAGGGCGAGAACGCTACATTTACAATGTTCGGAGGTTTGTTTGATCGATAAGGATTCTTGAGTAGTGCGTTACTGATGTAGAATAAGTTGCGCAAGGGGCGACGGGGGGGGGGGAGATATTTTTTATTTCATCAAATGCTCAATAGCACATAGACAGAAATTTCGTTATTCCACTGTTCCCTGAGATGACAGTTTTTTCCTGAAGAGCGTGGTAGTAGCATTTCTGAATATCTTTCTAATTTCTAATCACCGCGGGACACTATTAACCACGTCATGCCACCTAAGAAGAAAAAGGAGCTGCTGGAGCTGCTTCCTCCTGAGTAAGGATATCCTGTGCAGATTTACGTATTTTTTTGTCTTACTGAGTATGACTTGCATTCCTGCATTCGTTAATGAAAGACTGGCGAAAACTTATCTCGTTGCCTTTGGTACATTTTTGAAATGGTTTTTGTATTCTTTTCATGGAAGGCCTGAACCCGATGCTCCCGAGGAAGAGGAGATGCCATTGGCTCAGGTTCCTGTTTCCGTAGTCACCGGACAAATCTTTGGTCCTCGAATTCGTTATATCGATGAAACTGCTGAAGAACAGAGCTCTGATGATGAACCTGAATCTGAGAGTGACGATGAGAGTAGATTCATCAAAGAAGATCTTCCCGAAGTGCCCTCAGAATTTTGGCACATGCAGAAACTTATTAAGTATATGAAAGCAGGTAATCAGACTGCTACCATTGTCTCGCTGTGTCTGCTGAAGGATTATGAGCTTACGTCCAGAGTCAGTGTACTATTTTATAATAAGAATTTATTCATTTGTCGGATTGATAAATGCTTGAGTGTTGCTTTACCGTTTTGTTGAAGATTATTCAACGAGCCATACACGAAATGGGAGGTCTCGAGATCTTGGTGAATCTCTTGGAAACACAGGATATAAAATGTCAGCATGGATCCTTAGCAGTCTTACTGCAGATTACCACATCTTCGGAAATGAGACGCTATGTAATTAATCTTGGTATCATAATGCCACTGATACAGATGATGAAGCACCCTGCTAGGGATCTCCAAGTTCTAGCTGCAGAGACTATGGCGAACATTGCTAAGATGAGAAAGGCCAGGAAGCAGATACGACTACGTGGAGGGATACCATTGATAGTGAGTTCATTTTAGAACATGCGTGAGTGTCTTATGCATTCGCCATCGTATAAAAGAAATGCGTGCTTTCTTGCTTGTTTCCGAAAATCTGTATTCACAATTCCAGACGAATTGCTGGACATTAACCGTTTCAGCGCTGAGTTGTGCGACGTTAAGCGTGTTCTGTGGGTTGCCCAGTTTTTATGACAAAGCGCACGCTGGACTGAATAAGTTTCGATGTAAAATATATTGATTGTACGTGAAGTAATTTTTACAATAATTGCAGAAATCTTAACAGAATCTTTTATTTGATTGAACATTTATAACATTATCGACGTTAAAAGTTGTAAATTATATCTTTTATATTGAAAATTTAATAATTTTGTTTTCTTTGGTAAATCTTGAAGCAGGATTCAATACATAGGTATTTGACAAACGCATGCTTACTATTTTTTTTATCTCTAGGTTTACAAGCATCATTGGTATCGCATATACATATATTTTCATAGTCCAAATTGAATGGTTGCGTGAGAACACATAAATGGGGTCACAGCTCATGATGAACGATTTTTTGGAACCCATGTATGGATTCATAGCGCTGAAAGGGTTAAGTAAATGGAACAGTAACATTTCCAAACGCTCAACAACTCCGATTACAAAACGGAGCATGGGCAAAGATCCGATAATTACGCATCGTATGTTTAAAATAAAAATTCTGGTTAAAGCGTTTGTCCAGACGGGTTGATTAAAATTTACAGAAAAAATCATGTGAATATGGATAGTTTCATGTCCGAATGTCGAATATTTTTAGTTTGAACGTTCCGCATCCGCGAAACTAATTTCTTTGTTATGATAAAATGTTGTACAAGATGCGACCGCATGGTTCAACCGTTTGTATCTTACGGCAAACTATTATACCCCGATATTTTTAGTAAAAATATTAGTTAAAATGTTTTTTGAATTGGTATTTCAATAGATTAACTTGATCTTGTAGTTGGATGTTATGGACGTACCTGATGTCATTCTACAACGGTCACTAGAGGATTTGAATGAAGTTGAGCGGGAGTTGGTGGCTGTTGCTGTTGGCTGTGCTAAAGTAATGGATTCCCTTAGCAGTAGTCCTAAAATTAAAGAAGAATTACGAAGGCATGGTGTGGTATTTCTCATGGCGCGATTCTTACGCTCTCAACATACCCACTTAATAATACCTATGATGGGATCCGTACAACAATGTGCAGATTTGGTATCTAGACTTATGTCAAATTGTGTATCTATTAAAAAATTATTTTTCTATTGAACTATTTGACTTCTTTTAGAAAGCATTTAGATTAGCTTTCGAGCAAATGGGCATAATCACCGACATAGTAAGACATCTTCAGAACGAGGATGTCAAGCTCAAAGAGAATTGTGCGCTGGCGATATTCAAATGTGCACCAAATAAAGTCACCCGCGATATGGTGCGTGAAGCTGGAGGTTTAGATCCACTGTGTAAACTCGCCCAAAGTGAGGAAGTACGTGAAAATAAGCGTCTCCTGGCAGCAGTGACAGGTGCCATCTGGAAATGTGCTATGAGTCCAGAAAATATAACAAGGTTTAACCAGAACAACCTGGTAGCATCTTTGATACCACTCTTGCAGGAGAATGAGGACGAGGATGTTTTGACCAACGTTGTAGGTACTCTTGCAGAATGTTGTCAAGATCCAACAAATCGGGACGTTTTGCGTATTAATAATGGATTACCAATGATGGTACTATTTTTTTTTATTATCTGTTTCGATTTATTTTCCCTTTTTATTTAATCTTCTGCATTCCCTGAGATATTGTGTTTCACTACAGATTCGGCTTCTGAGTGCAACTTATGAGCCTCTTCTAGAAAATCTACCATTGGTTTTCAAGGAGTGCGCAGAGAATGAGCAATGCATGGACATCATCAATGATTCAGATCATATCCAGGATGGTGTACGATTAATCTGGTCGTTGCTTAAACATCCTAGTAATATTATCAAGAGGAATACTTGTCTAGCGCTTGTACCTTGTATCAAGTATGCAAAGGACTCTCCGGAGATGGTTCGGGCCTTCGTTGGCGGTTTAGAGTTGACTGTCAGTCTTCTAGACAGCGACGATACTGAAGTTCTCAGCGCAGTATGTGCCACGATAGCAGAAATAGCCAAAGATCCAGAAAATCTTGGTATATTGACTGATCACGGAGTCGTAAAAATGTTAGCTGGTTTGGTGCAGACCGTAAGTATTTCAATAATGGAAAAACTATTGAAACTTGATAGTGGCCTGTATTAATTTTTTTTGTAGGAAGATGATAATCTACGTGCCAATTTGGCACTAGCTATTGCCCACTGTTGCGAATGGGACCGAAATAATTATGAATTTGGACGGCTTAATGCTGTCGCGCCTCTTGTTAATTACATGATCAGTAAAAATAAGGATGTTCTCAAAGGAGCATGCATTGCCTTCTATCATTTCAGCAAAGAACCACTAAATTGTGTTACTATGCATACTTGTGGTGTTGTTAAGGTAATACAACTTTTTGATAACTGTGTCGAGTACTTTGGCTATAATAGATTTTTATATTGTCTAGCATGTTCTACGATTAGTGAGTTCGGATGATCCTGATGTGCAGATGGCAGCGGCCACGACTACCAGGAATATTCGAAAACTTGCATTGACTGCTGAGAAATTCCATTACAAAGAATTGTAATTATCTTCAATTTAAACATATATATAAACATACAATCCAGTCAGGCAAGCTTAAAAGCGAAAAACATTTAATATAACCATATGCAACACAATTTATATTAGTGCAATTGTATTTTCAAAGAGCGATATATGTATTGTTTATGCAGAAAAATGAACAATAATCAATGAAAGAAACAGTTCTTTTGTAATTACAAATATTCCAAAAAGCTAATTATGCACACAGCTTTTATGATAAACATTCACATCGTTAATCCTAATTTAAATGTCTCAGGACTTGACTTGATTGCCGGAGTATACTTTACGAATTCACTAAATTAATTTTTTCATCAAATACATTTTTTTATAAGTAGAACTATTTATTTACAACAAGAAACTTTAAGTGACTAAATAAACTCGATTTACTTAATAATAAAGAAGGTAAATGAAAAATCTTATTTAATCAATACGTCGAGTATCCTTCAAGAAAAAAACAAGCTTTGAAACATTAAAATCTGATTAACGGTGAATATCTTTAATAAAGAAAAAGTGTACAAAATTAACTATGTGAAAAATTCGTAATTATAAAACAACCGGCTTCATATCCATTGTTATTAAATTTTTTACACGAATAATACATTGTTCTTTGTAAATTCAGTTGTAGCAATATAAATTGTATTAAATGGTCATACTGATATGTTCACTTTTATGCTTGCCTGATTGAACTGTAGGTATACGTAACATTGAATTTTTAGGAATTCGCTTCAGGATATCGATTATCAAAATTGAAGAGAGAAGATGGAACCGATAAAAATATTTTTAAATGAAACGATTTTTGTGCGAATTTTTTTAGTAAATACAAAATCAATGCATAGCAACAGTTCCACCAGGCACTGCTGATCATAATAAGACGCTATTGTGTTTCATAGGTTTTACCATAAGAATCAAAGGCTAACTTTAGTTAGCTTGTTTGAGTTAAAAAGTCGTGCATACATATAATGGGTATGCGAAACTGCAATAAATTATTTTATAGATATCTTTAAATGTTTTTCAGAGTCTTAAGTATATGGAAATGCGCTACGAATGCGTTTATAAATATAATTAAGGTACAATCTATGTTAAGGGCTGGTCAAGTAAACTTAGAAATGCAAAATTCTGCTATTTAAAATTTCATTGTAGAAGCAAATGTAGAAAGACGCAAAGACAAAGATCAAATAAAGATTGTACAATTACAAAAATGTTTTTTGTTTTCTTGGTAAATGCATATATTGGAATAGACGAAAGAAAAATGACACTTATATATAATAATATACAATTTAATTGAAACTACAAAAATTCATTAAACAATAAATTATTATAATATAACAGATACATTATACAATAAGCACATCACTTGAAACATATCTTCATTCAATGATACATCCAATAATTTTCCTATTATAGTTTTAAGTGTTGAAAAATACAGTTTCAAGAACGTCTCGATATATGTGAAATGTTATATAAAATTTGTTATTCTAAAGTTTATGAAGTTTAATAAAAGTAAAAGCATTGTGGTGCATATCAAATTTGCTGCCTTAAACGCTTAAATTATAATACATAATTGAAAGTACATGCTGTTGAGTACTGGATGAAATACTTAATTAGCACCTAGTGCACTTAAGTACTGCAATCAGCAATAAGAGATTATGAAATCACATTTATTAAATTTATTTTAAAAGTATTCCTTATATTGTGTCTATAAGGGATATTAACATCATGCACTTTTGCTTGTTCCTTCTTCAAAACAAACTACCATAAAACAAACACCATGAGTAACATTTTATTATATCAAAGCGAATATTAAAATAAAAATGTATACGCACTTTCTCGATAGACTTTTTCTCTAGCTTTAATACTCACACTTAATTGTTTCATAGGAATGGGCCAAAAAAGCTATCTGATACCTTTTTTTCTTTAAATCTCATCCAAACGAAGTATTGAATTTAATTTTATATCAACTCAAGTCTTTTTATATTACCAGACAATGTACTTCTTTATTTTCGTTTTATTCTTTCTTCTCATTTGCTAGTACATTCGTGGTCACTTTGATTGCTAAAAATGATATAGAATAGTACAAATAAAATATAGCAAGATATTAATCTATTAAATTAATACATGATAATATTTACCAGTTTGACGAGCATTTGTTATAAAAGTATCCAAATTTGGTTGGTACTGTAAGAATTTTGGGCGGATGACACGATGATATAAAATCAAGGAACCATTGTAGTCTATAGGTACCATCAACCAAACATAGAAGAGGCACTGGAAAATAGAATACCGTCATTGCAGGCTACTTGTTTGTTTGTTTGTAGAGTTTAATATTTATATAAAAAAATACCTTAAGAAGCCAGTATACTGGAAGCCAGTATACAATATAATCTACAAAGAATTCTGCTATAGTAAAAGTGGCGAAAACAACCCAGTAAGTGAGCCACTTTGTATCATCATCCTTTTGTGGAGTCTCTAAAGCTTTCATAGAACAGTACGCAGGATATATAAATCCAATAATGTTACACACAAGTTGTTGTCCAATTCCAACAACCAGATAAAATGCTAGAAATCCAACAGCCACTGAAAATCATTCAATACAAAATATTTATATAAGAACTTATTCACTCCGTTGTAAAAAAAAAAAAAAAGATTTAGGATAAGAAATTTATTTAATAAAAATAAGTTTGAATTATGATAACTTGCAAAAGTATATGTAAATAATTAATTAAAATATAGCATATTTTGGCAAGCTATGTTTATTACCATATTTAGTTAATAATCACATTGATTCTTGATGTTCTGCCATAATTTAAAAAGACTGAAGAGAGCTAGACCAAGCTTTTGATAAAACAACTATATGATCTTTAAGATTTAGGATGTACCACAGTAAAACATTTATCAGTAATTTTTTTAATCAAGAAATTAAAAGATTAGAGTATCATAAAATCAAAAAGAATAAACTGGCTTATCAGTCATCTGTTTTAAGTAATAGAATTTTTAAAAACATCAACCCAAGATAACATACAAAATTATTATAATTTAGTTAATAATATGACAATACCAAATTGCTCTTGTTAAAGCTAAAATTAATAGTACAACATCAATTATAAAAGATTTTAACAAATTCTGTAAAGATGTATCAAATAAAGATCACAAGATCAATTGCACAATGATCAATTAATATTTAACTAAAGATTAAATCCATAATCTACACATCTGATTTATTAATGTGGCAGAAAGGAGCAAACTTAAATAAATCCTAACCTATAAAGGATGGAATACATTATAATGTCTCTTAGCTAGTGTTCTATTACACAAAGAATCCACAGGACTTTGAAAAAGTTTTCTTTTAAAAATTTTGAAATAAATCAATAAAATTACTCATTAACCATGTAAAAATTAAATATTAAATATTTGTACTAAGTGATTTGCATAATTTTACAAATAAATTGAACAAACTTGCTGGATAAAAGTGAAGCGAGGAAAAAACAAGATTTGTATTATATAACCAAATGTTCCTAAATCACCAGCAAAGAGTAACCAAAGTTCCATAACTAAAATTGACTAAATCGTTTTTATAATTTAATAAATGCATTTCCTTAACTCCAGTAGCATAATTACATGCTACATAAAATAATGTAGGGTTATCAGCGCAGATGCATCTGGTTTTACTAAAGTTATAACAAATTTAATGGTTTATTTGTGAATTTTTTTTATACCAATATTATATCAGACAATCTACCGATACTATATCATATTTATACTAAAATTAAACTGACTGAAATATGCCGAATTTATACCAAGTACTACATTCACTTCCTATCGTATTTACATATGTCAGATATGCATATAAGAGATCTGCATCTATAGAATACTAAAAATATACCGAAAAATCACAGTAAATAACGGTATGAACAGACGCGCTAAGGTGCTATATCACACAAGAAATAAAGTGAGAAATGACGAGCTTAACCTAACTCACCAAGAAAAATATAAAGACGATTGACGCCCGTCTTTTCCTCCGCCATTGAGAAATAGCCAGTCCATGGCTTAGACTCATCTTTTAAAGCCTTTTCAAGCGATTCTTTAACAGCTGTAATTCTTGCCATTTTCAGAAATTTTGGAAAATGTACGCAAATTCTTCACTACAACTAAAGGTGTGTTCCAAAATTCACTTCAGGTATAGTTGCGTCGGGTAAACTGCAGTATACGACTCCAAACTGAAGTTGGCTGCTAGTGACTTAGATTTTTAACGTAGCGCCATCTATCAAATGTAATGCGAATTGCATAGAATAGTGGCGCCTCCTGATGGGAAAAAAGAGCAACTATCTTTAAAAATTTGAAACGAATATATTTTTACTGTTATCATATATATTATCTTGTTATAAAAATATATTTTCACAAAATATGATCTAGTAATCGCAATATTCCATGTTTGGAGATTTGTTTCGTTTAATTTTCGTGCTACGCCACACAGGTTTGCACCTATTATGTATACATATATTTTGATAAGAAGATATTACATATTTTTATATTAAATATGTGTATATTTAATTGATGAATAATATTATTTAAAAATATAAGAATGTATAAGTGCAAGCTCGTGATTGTACATTGAGCATTGAATTTGATCTACTGCTTCGAGATTTTTTTCTACAATGTATCGTTTGCTTTCGTAAAACATGTAGAAGCATGATTTTCGTTAGTAGCTCGCAAAGCGTGTAATACAAGTGTTCTATTATTTCTTTTGTTTAAATTGGATTGTGTGCGATCGATTGCAATGGTGATACGGTTCGTAGATTTGTTCAAACTAGATGAGAAACCTTCTATTGAGGTAATCACCTTTGCACAAAGATTTGGACTCATAGCTCAGACTTTCAAGTGTCCAGTGTGCGATAAGGACATGATTCTATGCACTGCTGAATTTTTTTCGGACAAATATGGTTGGCAATGTCGTAGTTGCAAAACAACGAGATCAGTGAAAACTGGTTCGTTTTTTGGCAAATCGAAGTTATCAATGATCAAAATTTTACAATTGACATATTTTTGGATTCATAAGTACACCCAGATTCTGGCTCAGTGGGAATTTCAATGTTCCCCGCACACGACGGTCGACTGGTACTATTTCTGTCGGTTATGGTTAATTTTTTTTCTAATAGGCGGCGTGACTATTCCATGCGATTCACATTATATCCGGCAGATGGCGTTACCTCAAAAAACCTAAGTCACTAGCAGCCAACTTCAGTTCGGAGTCGTATACTGCAGTTTTACCGGTTGCGTCTAGCTGTTTTCACTTTCTAAGGGCTCATTCAGACCGAAAGCAGCGGGAAGCGAGAAGCGAGCAGCAAGCAACTTGAAACTTTAGAATAGACTGGTACCTCTTTCCAACGTACATACGTGTAGGCTATTGTGATTGGTCATGATGTTAAATTGTAACAAAGGAGACTACATGCATGTAACATGCAACGAGGCTATACCACGGGCTATACACATTTCGTCTGATGCCGAATTCAAAATTTATTTCAAACATGAACTATGACGTGAAGTAGGGTTGCCATAATCTTTTTACTATGTCGCTGCTACGGAAAGTTGAACGTTGATCAACTTTCCAAAATCGCAGTCCAGGCATTGGAATCTGCTTAGTAATGAAGTCATGTTTTAAGAAAAATTATGTATTATTACTTTTAATGTAGTATACTTGACTCTATATACGTAATTAAGGTAAATAACTTATTTCTTCATGCTTTCATACGACTACCTAATATAAAAAGGTAGAAAATGTAGTTTCGCGGCCAAGATTCCGCTGCTCGCTTCCCGCTTCCCGCTGCTTTCGGTCTGAATGAGCCCTAAAGCCCGTTTTCTTCAATGCGGTTCAATGCGTAAAGTCCGTTTATCTTCAAAATACAAGTAGCTGATTGGCTAATAGCAGAGTTAAATCAATTTATGCATTAAACTTTGTCGAAGAAAGCGGGCGCTTGAGTTTCATAATTGAAAAAATTTTTATCGTTTGTTTGTCATTTGTAGGTATTTGTAGGATTAATCAAAACGTTTGTCGGTTAACGGTTTATTTAAAAATAAAAATAAAAATTTGCATTAAGCTGGCCGTAATTTTTTTATTTTTTACCTAACTTTGTTTTTCACGTGGCTAATCGATGCGAAATTGTTTGCAGGGCACAGATAATCCAATTAGTATGTTTGTCGGATCGTTATTTCAATAAAATAAGCAAAAAACGTATTTGGTGAATTTTATGTGGAACGGTCATATGATTGCAATTAAATTACGAAAACTTATGAAAATTTTTGTACTTTAGTGGTTTTTGCAAATAAGACATTTTTCTGCCAAAATATTTTCTTGCAGACATCAATTATCGCTGCCGGCACCGGGGACGATCCAGTCATTTACATTTATTTTTCGCACCAGTTACCGACAAACGTTCTAATTACTTAATTTGTAACCTACAAACGATTTTGAATCGATTAAGTACTAATTAAATAAACATTTATCATTAATTACGATTTTTGCGGTCAATTTCCCGTGGTCATATGACTGTCCCGCGTAAAATGCGTATTTTATTGAAATATCCCTGCTTAAAAAATATGATAGAAAACGATTTTTAAAAAATCGTTTTATATAAAAAGAAGCAGATCAATTGTTTATCGTTTCTAATAGGTTTATTGCATATTATATAGGATGACTTTATGCATGACACGACAAATTGATCGCTAGTTAACTGTATTAAGAATGCATTGTACATAAATTCTCAACCAAAAGATTGATTTCGTTGAGTATCTTGCGATAAGGGAAAAATTTGACAAAAATCAGCGTTTTGGAGATATAATACTTTTTTTTATCGGAAAAAATAGAGACTTCATTTTATATGAAAGTTTTCTATCGAATATGTAAATTAATTTTTTAAATTCATTTATTAGTAACTTTTTGGCATTTTTATTAAAAATAAACATTCTTCCTATCTTCGAAGACATCGATTTTTTTCAGTTTTTATTCTCGTGTCAAAACACTCAAATTCGAATCAAATCAGATTCTTGATGGGAAATGTACGTGCAATGCATCCTTAAATTCGCGATAATTGTCGCGATAAATGGGAAAACCATTTGTTATTAAGCCATGTAAGAAGGTTATCGTTTATTTCATATTCTTCCCTAATAAGTTGGTGACAATAGAAAACGATTCGATTTCTATCACGCATTTTCATATTAATACATATAAAAATATGATTCATATACATAGAATCATGTAGCATCATATACGTAATAGAACGTGAATTTCATATTACCATAGATAGACGTACTGCTTATATGAAAATACATATAGTATAGATTAGATAGTATAGATTAAATTTTTTCAGATTACATTAGATAGAAACTCTATTAACTTGATGTAGATAGGACTGATAGAAAACGATTGAAATCGGCAATTAGTTTTATCGTATCTTATCGAATTCTATCGTATTTTTTAAGCAGGGATACACTAGAATTCTACACGCAGCTAAGCTAAAATGTACGCACGATTAATTTTCAGACGTTAAGGATTGAAAATATACACTTCTTTTAACAGATGCTATATTGATTGTAGACACATTTGAGGTACGCCAGAAAAGAAAGAATAATAGCCGTTTTCTTCGACGCGGTTCAATGCACAAATCGGTTTAACTGTGCTGTTAGCCAATCAGCAGATAGTTCTATTTTGATGATAAACGCAGTGTATATATTGAACCGCACTGAAGAAAATGAGCTTAGGATTTCGTCTACAACAGAACATGGTTCGTAGCCGTTTGTCGTACGTCTTTGTACTAGAAACCAATCAGAATTATTGGCTTAGTTACCACCGTGCAGAGTTTAAACAGAGTCAAGCAGCCCTATTGGTCAATGCCATTCAACCCCTATATGTGATTGGTTTACTCTGTTTAAACTCTGCACGGTGGAAACTAACGCTATGTTTAGACGACCGTCTTAAACTGATTAGTCAATACTGGCCAAATACCACCAAATGACCACCAATCGATTGGTAAAAAGAAAAACGTCAAAAGTTGAAGCGGGAGGGGGGCTAAGTTAATGCTAAAAAGTTGTATGGATTTGAAAGTAACCGAAAACCACCAAACGTTTTGAATGGACTACCAAATCCCACCAAACGACCACCAATCGATTGGTAAAAAGAAAAATGTCGAAGCCAAGTGGGGGGGCTAACTTTGCGGAGCTCAGATTCACGGAGGTCTGTTTTTGGAGGTCTCAATTTTACTCTCGTTTCGGCGCGCCACCTTAGCGGAGGGCCCTCGAAGCAGTTCCACATTTTTGATTGGTCAAGTATATATAGTAATACTACGCGTGAGAATCTCGAGTTGTGTTTTGGCGCGTCGACGCGCCACCTGAACGAGACTCTCGAACTAGTTCCATGTTTTTGATTGGTCGAATGAATTCGTGTGTTCCTCGAGATCCACGATTTTAAACCGGGTGAACACTCAAATAGGGAGACTAGTATCCACCTTTTCTTAGTGCATATTATATAAACCGTAGTAATGAGGTAGTAAATTCTGCCGATGTTAATTCCCTTAATATCCATATGAAGCTTTGTAAATAATAGAGTGAGCAAATAAAACTTTAAACAAACCCTCGAACGTAGGTAACTACAGACATATAAATTTTCTAATTTATACAGGGTGTCGCAAAATTACCTGACCAACGGGGTATGGCGGTGTTCGGGAGGCACCACTGATCACGAAAATGACCTTCCTTTTGTCCGGAAGGTCATATTTTTTAACTGGGAGCAGGTTAAAGTTGACCAATCAGAGCGAGGCGTCCCGAGAAACGTATTCACCCACGAACTCTATGTTTTCTTCCCTCGCTTTTGTTTCTCGGTAGCTTGTGTCTTGTTTCCCATAGGCATGTCTTCAGCTGATGTCATCCTGCCCGAAGCCACCGAGAAACAAAAGCGAGGGAAGAAAACTCAGAGTTCGTAGGTGCCTACCTTTCTCTTGACGCTTCGCTCTGATTGGTCAACTTTGACCTGCTCCCATTTAAAAATTATGACCGGTAAAACTGCAGTATACGACTCCGAACTGAAGTTGGCTGCTAGTGATTTACACAGGTGCTTTCCATTTACACGACTTCTGTGTCGACTTGTGTCAACTGGTGTCGACTCATGTCGACTCTCGAAAACGAATAAATGGAACACAGATACTCTCGTAAACTCACCACTCTAGCAAAGTCTTCCCGAGTCGACTTGTGTTGCCGACACACGGCGACACAAATCAAATGGAAAGCACTTTTGGCGACACAAGTCGACTTGTGTCAACTTGTGTTAGTAAATGGAAAGCACCCAACGTGGTGACGATAGGGAAGTGCCCAGACCTGTATACAAGATCGTGGTCGCAACAAGTGAGGCTGCCGACTTCTATCAGCTATGGATTATCATATATGATGAACATGCATTAGGCGAGTTGGCAACGATTCAGCTTCGTAATCGTAAGGTGCCGAGTTTGCGTCTAGAAACGGAAACTTTTTTTTCTTCATTTCTTTTTTGTTTAATTTTTTTGAACCTGGTGTTGCATGGCTCGCATGGGAGGGCAAAGTTAAAAAATAATGCAGTCCTAAACAAACCACACACGAAATGAAGCATGTGTAGTTCAAAACATTGCATATGCAGTTTTATAACAAATACTTGATGGAATGACATATGCGCCTTGCTAGAGACTTCATTGTTTTCCATTTGTCAAATAAAACACATGAAACTCGGGGATGAACTATACCAATTTATTGCATGTATACGATGTAATATAATACAATATTTATAGACTAATATAATCATATATTTAATGAATCTTAAATTAACTAGGTGAACAAATAAGCATAGTTGATAATTAAGAAAAAAAAAGGGTTGAGACGTGAGTTCCGAACTTGAGACTCTCGGCCGTTAATCCAGCACCAAGCACGTGTGCCATCAAGTCATTGTGGTATATCATTTAGCAAACTTATATTTCTGTAGTTACCCACGTTCGAGGGTTTGTTTAAAGTTTTATTTGCTCACTCTATTTACAAAGCTTCATATGGATATTAAGGGAATTAACATCGGCAGAATTTATTAAATTAATATGCAGTAAGAAAGGGTGGATTCAAGTCTCCCTATTTGAGTGTTCACCCAGTTTAAAATCGTGGATCTCGAGGAACACATGAATTCATTCGACCAATCAAAAACGTGGAACTAGTTTGAGAGTCTCGTTCAGGTGGCGCGTCGACGCGCTAAAACACAGCTCCAGATTATCACGCGTAGTATTACTATATATACACGACCAATCAAAAACGTGGAACTGCTTCGAGGGCCCTCCGCTGAGGTGGCGCGCCGAAACCAGAGAAAAATTGAGACCATCAAAAACAGGCTCATTGGCAATCTCCCTACTCATCTCTGGTCCCTGACTACGTTTACACGGCGGCTTGAACAGATTTACGCTTCGTTTTCTTCGACGCGGTTCAATGCATAAACTCGGCTTAACTGTGCTATTAGCCAATCAGATACTTGTATTTTGAAAATAAACGTAGTTTATACATTGAAGCGCGCAGAAGATAACAGGCCTTAAAGTACGTTTACACGGCGGCTTGAACAGATTTACGCTTCGTTTTCTTCGACGCGGTTCAATGCATAAACTCGGCTTAACTGTGCTATTAGCCAATCAGATACTTGTATTTTGAAAATAAACGTAGTTTATACATTGAAGCGCGCAGAAGATAACAGGCCTTAAAGTACGTTTACACGGCGGCTTGAACAGATTTACGCTTCGTTTTCTTCGACGCGGTTCAATGCATAAACTCGGCTTAACTGTGCTATTAGCCAATCAGATACTTGTATTTTGAAAATAAACGTAGTTTATACATTGAAGCGCGCAGAAGATAACAGGCCTTAAAGTACGTTTACACGGCGGTCTGGAACCGGTTTAGTTAATGCTGATCTAAAGGAATTGACCAATCCTGAATTGGCCAAGTGTGTTCGAAAATGAACCGAGGCAACGATGTTCGCGCACTCTCGGCTGATCTTAGAACGCAGCTGTCATAGGTGTGTTCGCAATCATAATGTTCACGTTGCAATCGAGCTAAGTGAAAATCAAATTTTATTTATTATTTAAAGATGCTTTAATTAAATAAAACACTAATTGTGGAGCAATTGGGAGCAAATCGGGAGCAATTACTTCATCAAGAAATTCATATGAAAATCTGCTCGGTTGTTTGGAATTTCAATAAAAATGAAAATTTTCTGTTTTAATGAATATTTATTAATCACTGCATAGTAGCATTGGAGCAATTACGGAAACATATAGAACATTTAAGGAGCAATTTTTTAAGCATTATAAACATACAAATGTTGATTTTCCCGCGCTAACTTCGCGACGGTGGGACCTACGCTTCCATGTAATATATGTTCTCTGCCAGTACTAATGTCGATGCACGGGACCTACTCTTCCAGGGGGGGGGGGGGGGCGTAGCCCAGTGGAAAATCGGCACTAACCGCAGCGCCTCTGGTGTCCAGCTCGGGCATGTCAGACACTAAACATGTGGAGATCAAGTTCTAAAGTGTCGATAGCTCAGGTTTGTTTTAAATTTCCGCATTAAATAAGTTTCAATACAGGGGGGGGGGCCGTAGCCCAGTGGATAGGATAGCGGATTCACGACCGAAAGGTTGGAGGTTCGCGCCTAGCTTCCAGCGGCATTCACCAATGGGTTTTTATATGAAAACTTAAGTGAGTATTTATACGAGGGCGGCCGTAGCCCAGTGGATAAGGTAGCGGATTCACGACCGAAAGGTTGGAGGTTCGCGTCTAGCTTCCAGCGCCATTCACCAATGGGTTTTCATATGAAAACTTAAGTGCGTATTTATACGGATTTCGCCCAACACTGTTCGGATTCAGTGTATAAACTTTTTAGGCCCCCTCACGCTGAGTTGAATAAGGCCCGTCTCGCAAGGTACATCGCCATCTATTGTCAAACTTCCAACCTTAATTATTACGACCACTTACTGGCATATGTCCCCCATTGGGGATACAGCCATAAGGAAAGGAAGGAAACAGGCTACCTGTCAATGTTCGTCGTGCCCTTTTGTCAGTTTTCAATGATTTTCTCACAGACTCCGTACTACCAGAGAGCTGGAGCCAGTTTCTCGTTTTTTTCATTTCAAAATCAACTCCCGGTAAATTCCGGCCCATAGCCCTTGCTTCATGTATGTTAAAACTTTTTGAACGTCTCATCCTCGCTAGGCTCTCATGGTGGGCTGAACACCATTCACTTATCCCATCCTCGCAGTTCGGTTTTCGCAAGGCCAGATCTACTACGGATAATCTGGCACTATTGTCATCTGAAGTGTACAACGGTTTCGCTGAGGGCGAATATACGGTTGCAGTGTTCCTCGATATTTTAGGCGCTTAGGATAATCTGGTACTATTGTCATCTGAAGTGTACAACGGTTTCGCTGAGGGCGAATATACGGTTGCAGTGTTCCTCGATATTTTAGGCGCTTTCGACAAGGTCATTCCCTCCATCTTAATTAGTAAATTATGTTCTATAGGTATACCCGAACCCATTTGTCGTATTATTTATAATATTATCTCAGAAAGGAACGTCTTCTTCAAGATCAATGGTAACCTGACTGGCTCCAGGTCTGCTCACAAAGGCTTGCCACAAGGACTTACCCTTAGTCCCATCCTCTTTTCTTTATATATCAGGGAACTCAATAACTACCTTCATCCGAATTGTATTTCCACGCAATATGCTGACGATGCTCTCATCCTCTCGAAATCCAAAAACTTAGCCGACTGTCTCAATGCAGTTCAATCTAGTGTTACTTCCATCTGCCAATACTTGGAAAGTTTAGGATTATACATCTCTCCATCTAAAACAAAATTAGTTATATTTTCTAAAAGAAGACGAGACTTCAACGACCATCATATCAGGATAGGCTCTGACCGCTCTGATATATGCTTCCAATGAGGCCACGTATCTAGGTTTGATCTTTGATAGGAAATTAACTTGGAACTCTCACCTTAGAAAAACCATTAAGAGATGCAATAGATCACTTAACATCTTCAAAGCCCTTAGGTCCACATGGTGGGGTGCGCACCCCTCAACCCTTCTCCTCCTATACAAATCACTAATCAGAAGCGTCTTAGAGTATGGCTGTCGGGCTCTCCTTCTCCTCGATGGTAATCTACTTACGAAACTTAATCGAGTTCAATACAGTGCTCTCCGTCTTAGCCTGGGACTTAGGATATCTATTCCAATCCGTGCGCTTCTCGCTGAAACAAAAGAACCACCTCTACTTATCCGTTTCAACCTCTTAGCGAAGAAATATATCTTAAAATGTTTCTCGCACTCTGCCCATCCTGTTACTCATCTTCTCTCGAATCTATTGTACCTCCCCTACAATGGCAAAACTTACCAGATCAAACATCATTTCATCCTCTATAAAGCCTTTGTCTCTGTCCGTAATTACAGTAAAGTTATCTATAACTCCCCCCATCCTCTCCCTTACCACTTTGACTATGAACTACAACACTTCGCTCCAAGTATTAGTCTAATGGAAGGTCTCTCCATCCAAAGCTCAAAAAATCCGAGTAAAGAGTTCGATAAATGCTTCAGTGAAATCTTTCATTTGGCACACACCTTCTATACTGATGGCTCGAAAAATCCGGATGGCCCTTTTACAGGTTTTAGCGTCTACTGCCCGTCTCTCAATATATGTTTTCAAGCCAAAATAGCTACTCAAGCCTCGATATTTTCGGCGGAAGCCCTTGCAATTTATCATGCAACAAATTTTATCCTAGACAAGAAAATAGCAACGTCAATTATTTTTTCAGACTCAAAAAGTGTCTTGAAAGCCCTGCAGTAATTTAATCTGGACGAATCTCACTCGTATTTCATATACTTGATCAAACAAAATCTAAGACAGGCCTCTTTAAACGAGCAGTCTATCCGTCTTTTTTGGATTCCGGGTCACTCGAATCTTCAAGGAAACGACACGGTTGATGTTCTCGCCAAAAAAGCTATCACAAACGGTACATTCTTAAACCACAGTCTTCCATATACTGACCTACTACCCGTTGTATCAAACTGGGCATCAGAAGCCTGCTTAGCATTCTACTCGAATCATCAGGATCTAAAGGGACTTTTTTACTTTAATCACTGCTATTCTACAGCTAAAACGCCTTGGTTCGCACACTCCAATTTAAGTCGCTCTGTTATAACCGTTTTCACCAGAATCAGAGTCAATCACCACTACTTGGCCGAAAGTCTCCATGGCAAAGGCATTTTGTGCTCCGATCGATGTCCATGTGGCAGGGGCTCCGAAACGGTTGACCATGTCCTGTGGCATTGTCGCCGTTTCTCACACCTCAGGCCTAAACTACTCCTTTCTATCCGCAAAGCCAAGCTCCCTGTTACGTACTCTATTGCTTCTTACCTAAGTCGCATGCACCCTAAATTTCTCGAATCAGTACACAACTTTCTCACCAATGCTAACATATCTATTTAAAACTACGTTCTACAAGCTCTAGATAAACAATTCAGTCTATTACTAACCTTGTTGTCCTCGTCGGCTCCACACTTACTATCCATCCCAATAACATTATCTCCTTGCTCCGTTATCTATCTCCTTATTGGCTCCCTGCATGAATTACTTCCTCATTGGGGGATTTGTGAGCCCTCGGGCTCTGGCTGGCTGGATCTCCTCGGTGATTGGCCACCGAGGTGATCCTTTCTCTTTTTCAGATCGCCGTGGGATACTCGCGCTAAATACCCCATAGAAACGCTCCATTTTGTAATAATCTTGTGGCCGCTTGTAAGGGACTAGGGTCCTAACTAGTGCCAACATACATAAAAGAAGAAGAAGAAGAAAGGAAGGGGAGGAAGGCCTTCGTGTAACCTAAAAATTTTAATAGTTTAATTGTACATTAATATTTGATATTTAAAAAAGTATTGTAACGTAAAAAATCGTATGGAACAAAGAAAAAATGAATGTTAGCTCCCATTCTAATCCTGCTCTTAGAATTGAAATAGGGAATACCCTTCTGTGCATAAATGACTTAGCGATAAAGATGTAAGGTTTATATGATCAGAAAGTCTATAAACCATTTTCTGTTATAAATGTTGAGATTCTAATATTTTTATGTAATTATTTCAGAAAGCAGGAGCTGGAAGAAATAAATAATATGGTAAAGTCTGAAGGTAAACTTTATGCTGCAATGAATATAACAAATATAACACTTGGTAAAATTGCTCAGGATTTACAAATCAACACCGATGAAATATTTAAATGTATAGAAAACGATAAAGAGCAGTCAACTGAATTCTCTACCAGAGCTCATTGCAGAAAGGATTAAAATTGTTGTGCAGTTGAATTAATTGGCTTGTATGAGTCATTTTAACAATAATCATGTTTCCATAAGAGAGTCCAATATGCCATAGTATCGAACAATTTATATTTTTTTAAACAATTTTATTACCCATCCAAAAATATAATAAGTATAGTGCTTCTTATATTTACAATAAAAGTGCTTGCATGATTGAAATAAAAGCTAAAAAATGTGAATACAATATACATTCCATTTTAGAATACTATTTACATATATGTATGATGTTTTGTATTTGAAAGTAATAAACAGATATGATTTTAAAATATTCAATTATATGCTTCAAAGTTTGGGTTCAGTTAGCCAACTAAATTTTTGCTCTTTACGATCAGCTTGTGGATCTATCATAATATTAATTATAGAAGGACTATCTTTAATCTGAAAAGAAACATATGACTCAAAATTAATTTCAAATTTTATTATTCTCGTATATATTTACCTTCAAAGCACCCTTAAAAGCTTGATGTATTTCTGGAACTGTGGTGCAAAAATATCCTTTCCTATTAAACATTTCCATCATTTTTTCATAACGTGTGCCAGATGTCAATGAAAATGCTGGAGTCCTAAAACCAAAGAATACAACTTAAAGCATTATGAACTTCAAAAATACAAAATACATAATTTTGATATAACATACACTTGCGTTGCTTCCCCGGTAGCTTGAATTTGTCTAAAAGTTTCTTCATCCAAACCCCCATAGATGCCATTATTATTAATAATTACCAAAATAATTGGTAACTTGTATCTGAAATTTAGCAATACATATATAAATGAATATTCCCAAAAAATAAAAATTTTGTGTTGCAAGATTAAGACTCTGATATTACCTAAACATAGTTTCGATTTCCATTCCTGAAAAGCCGAACGCACTATCGCCCTCGACGCAAATCACTCTCTTACCAGGGAAATTATCTTTGCAATAAAGTGCTGCTGCTATTGCAAAACCTGGACCAACTCCCATGGTACCAAACGTACCTGCATCTAAGCGATGACGAGGTTTCTCATTCAGAAGAATCGTACGGCTAATATCCATGGTGTTCGCTCCCTCCGCGCATATAATACAATCTGATAAGTTAAAAAAATAAAAGTATTGCTTTAAGGCAAGAAGTAGTATTGAATACTCACCAGCTGGTAGAACTGCTTGAATACTTTTAAAGGTAGCATAGTAATTCAGTGGAGACGAAGAGTCCGATGCCATTCTCTGTGCGCAAAATAATAATTCTGGTTACTGTATACGGTTATTCATGATCGATTTCATACTAGGATAATTACTTCAATCACTTCTTTATTCTGTTGGCTCTTAGCAGTAAGCTCTTTCCACCATGGCGTATTTTTTGAAAACACGAATCTGCGATCTCTTAAAGCTTTCGTTAATAATTCAACGGTTGGTTTTAAATCGGCTTGAATTCCGACAGCCGAGGTTACAGAATTGTGCAATTCTTCGGCACAAATATCTACCTGCAAAAGTGTTTTCATACACAAATTTGTTGTTTTTACTCATATTTATATATAACCAACCTGGATAACTTTAACATTAGTCTGGAATCTAGGGGCTTTACCAAAATGAAGCATCCAATTGAGCCGAGCTCCAAGTAATAAAATAACATCAGACTTTTGCAGAGCAAGTGTTCTGGCGCTTGCTACACTATTTTTATGTGAATCAGCAACAACACCTTTACCCATAGGTGTTGGAAGAAATGGCAAATCTGTTGCTGATACTAAGTCCCGAACTTGTGCTTCCGCCTTAGCATAAGCTGCGCCTATTTAGAAACGATATTTATTACAATATTAATTCATCTTGGAAAAACTTCTGCAGTGATGTATATTCATTTGTTTTGATATACTTCCACCAAACTAATGAACGTTACGAATGGATTGTATTTATATCAATCATATATCAATACGACTTTATTCAACAAACCTTTACCGACGATAATCAATGGCTTCTTGGCCTTCACAAGAATTCCTGCAGCTTGTTCTATAAGATCATTTTGTGGATAAATCAACGGTGGTGGTGGACATAATAAGACGTTATATATTTTGCTTTCATCAATTTTTTGTGTTAATAATGTAGCTGGTAAATCTAAGTAGGCCGCTCCTGTACAATTAATAAAATTATGGATGCGAATTAAGATGCAGAATGCAAAATATAATCGGGTGATACAATTTCAATATTTTGCGAACAAAATATTTGTAACAGATACCATAATAATATGAAGGTGAAGGTTAGCAAATTTTTTGAAGGCCTTACCGGGTCTTCCATAGGTACAAAGTCGAACTGCGTTTTCTACGTGCAATGGTATAAGAGCAGCTGTTGGTGGTCTGGCTGCATATTTACAGTAAGGTCGACTCGCATTAACCTGAGGAAACTCTTGGAATCCACCGAGTCCTTCGTGATCCAACGAAGTAGATCCTCCCAAAACTAGCACGGGCCTAAAAAATATTATGCACTATGTATGGACGAACTATAATTAATTATTGATGTGCATACCAGCAATTAATTTGTGCATTGGCCATACCCCCAATAACATGAAGAAGGCCGGGTCCCGATACACAGAGCACAACGGCGGGTTTTCCTATCATTAGATGGAAATTTTCATAATTTTCACATAGTTTTAATAATACATAAATACTTTTATGAATGATTTTAGAATGATATAAAACAATACAGATACCAGTTAGATATCCATATCCTTGTGCTGCATAACATGCTGCTTGTTCATTACGAAACCCTAAATACTGCAAACCAGCGACTTGCATCGATAACGCCAGTTCTATGACTGGATGACCCATAATGCCAAAAACATAAGTCAACCCCTAGAAAGAAAATGATAAAAATATTTTAGAAAGTAGTATATGCTATGTAGATCAATAAGGTCGATCATAAAATTGACTTGAATAATTAATATTAGCATATCATACATATCGGAGGAAATGCTTACAAGGTATCTCTGGTACAAAGATAAATATTGTCATTGTGGTGCAAAGTAAAATTCTATACAGCGACTGATATTATTTAAATATTTCGAATTTAAACAATTTTGAACGTATCCGGTAATATTTCCGGGAATCATCGTTATCATCTAATCTCGTCATGTAACATAATAAAATCATACGTTCTTTACGTAGTTAGATTATCAATCACGCGATTGTTACGAAACCATACAAGGTAAGAAAAGAAATATATATTTTGGAATAATGGTGCAACTGAGACAACAAATACGAATATGCGCCCCGTTAGCTAGTATAGTTTGCATTGCGCATTGATATATGTATAGTCATTTTTACTGATAGTAAATACAATAATATTTTTGAAGATTATTAGAAATATAATCAAATTATTTTTAAATGTTCATTCTTTAAATTATTGCTAATATATATTACGTGCAATAACCCAGATAGCACAAATTATGACTATGTTGACAAGACATCTTCAGAAAGTCTTATGTCATGAGTTTTGACGTTTGCTTTAGGTATATGAAAGACGTTTTTTTTTTTAATATAAGACGTCAAAACCCATGACATAGAACTTGACAATGTTTTGCGGACGCCTTCTTAATTTGTGCTATCTAGGAGGTTAGAGTTTTCAACAGATAATACGTGTGAATTGACAACACTACACTTTATCGTGCACCATAACCTTAAATGCAGTAATAAAGGAAATTCTTTATATAGTCGAGTACAGTTAAATTGAATCCTAGTAGTTCATACACAAACTCCAATTTTTCAGAGATCTTTTATTTCAATTTTTAAGAAAAAAAGTTTTTCCTAAAAACTGTGTGGTATTGAAGAAATTTGTCATGAAATCTTCTAGTTAGAATATTAAAAACAATAAGAATTCGATTAGAAATACCTGTTGCTTGAGGGATTCGGCAACTATTTGATTTCCAGTTTTTTCGCCCATTTCTGACCTTTCCCTTTTGTAAAATGCACCTTTAGAGTCTCAGGTTTGAAGAATACGCCTGTCCGCTTCAGCTACAACAATGTTGAACTTTGATATTGACTGTGTGAATCTTCTATTTACGTCTTTTATCGATTGAGGGTTTTCATCAAAATAAAAATATATCTAAGATTTATTTTATATAGACATTTTTTTAACAACCACGTAATTCCGCCTAGCTCATGTAACTGAATAATGATACTTTTTCTTTGGCAATTTATAATGCACCTAAGTATGTATGATAACGAATGCGTATTATTTTTATATGCTTCATCATCAATCAATTATTCAGATAAGTATTATTAATTTAAATTGGTAGATAATGGTAAAGGTCATAAGAGAATGTATAATAAAGAGTCCTCACACAATTTTGCATATTCCATATGTCGATAAATTTTATATACATATTTTTCAAGAAGTATATCTTTTGCTTTAGTTCCTATATGTTATAGATAGTAAAAATTTTGTATCTATTCCATAACCTCATTATGGTTAACGGGATAATGATTAATTTCAATATTCCAATATTTTATTTGATTTTATAGTCGATACAACAGTGTATGGGTATTTGTCAAATGTTTTATCTTTGCAGTCGGTAACGGTAGATTTCTTGTGCTAAGATATCAACATAAGAAAAAAATTGATGGATTCTAAGCAAAAAAAAAGTGTTGCACGCAAATTCTTAGAATTTGGTTTATTGACGGACTGAATTCTTGTCAATTATGACCTACGTCATTGAAAGATATCCCGAAACGTTATAAGTTTTCAAATACATTTTACGGGCTTGCCATTGAAAATAGACGACACTGTCGCTAAGAATTATTGAATTCTATAATGAGCATGATTTCGAAATTAGTTAAATGTGACAAAACCTATGACGAAACTCATATTTGTTATTCAGCATGTAATTTCTTTCTTCTTTAAAATTATCAGGCCTGTTCTAATCAGATTCTAAGTTAAATGACTTACACCATCGTCTTGAAATAGGAACTGGTATGATAACGGAAAGGCCAACGCGCGAGTTCTTTGAAATTGATGTATCAGGGATGTACAGAATGTTTACGAAAGTGCAATCAAATTCTTAGAAAAATAACTGTTTTTAAGCAAAACTGAAAGCATTAATAGATCTTTAAAATATCTTTTTATAGATCATTGATAATCTTGGCCACCCAATGTTAAGTAGGAAACCCTCTTGAAACTTTTCTTCGAATATTGACAATGAATTTGCTTTATGGTAGTTATAGACTTCACTACAGTCCTGTACGATATTTAAATTTGAAAAGCTTAGCCGGAACAGACAATTAAAAAATCTGGCTATGAATCACCAAGTACCTATCAAGTTCTTAGACATGGTATTGGATAAAAGAATAATTGTAACGGTATGTTGGGACTTTTACTAGAATTGTGTTGTCAGCTAGGCCCGACTGAGATATTTTAAGGAGGAAAAGCCTTTCAGTTTTGGGTACTGGGGTAATTGCCACTAATAAACCAACCTAACGGTTGTAGCGCTCAGTTCTACCGATTTCACATAAACTGAAAGTAATAATTCATCTCTTAGAATTGCCTTGAAACTATAGTTCTACATTATTATATTACTAATATATTGCACGATAAAATGCTTTAAATAAATATAATAATTTTTACAAATATTTCGTTTTCTTTGCAGTTTATGTATTATACACCAGTCACAGTGCACAGACGTATAACAATGTTTATGCGTATTTAAAGCTGTGCTATGAAACTGATTCTAAAATATTGAAATATAACATACGCATACATTATTATCTAGTCTACATTTCGTTATTTTGCCAAAAGATTGGTATTCTCTCATTCTACAATGATGAAAAATCGGATGCTCTTCGATTACATCTATCCAGAGTCTTTATCCAAAAAATAATACAAATAAACGAAGTAGTACACGGGGATTTGATAAGTTCGAAATTACTGTACACTTTTCTGATATTACTCTTGATTATTATTATTAATTTATCACCGATTAAAACTCCCCGGATTAAGTAATGGAACGATGGTATGTTGAATTATATAACTTTTTCCATAAATTCCTTTTGCCGTGTGATTAAAAGTTAGGAATTTTTCATTTGTTCATCAGATTTCCTCCGATACAAATTAAAAGGTAATACTAGGCGGATAAGAGTTAATACGGCTACATTTGGAATATTTGCAACTGTACTAATTCTTATCTGCATGTTGGTTCGCTAGCAGCCGGGGCTGCAATTAAAAAAGAGCTCGTAAAATGTTATCGTCCTAGTACCATGCATATCTAATAGTATTACCTCTAAGGAATATTTAACTGAAAATTTGCTACTGAAATTTACGGGGAATTTCTAATAAGCAGTTACATTGTCTTGAGGTATCAGCAACACCTTCAGGGCGCTATATAACGGAATATTATAATGTCTAGCAAAACTGATTAAAACAACCCTTAACATCTTAGTGTATATTTTTATATACCTACTCTATCTGTAATCATTTTTCCTGTCAATTATTTTTGGAATTTCTGGACAAAACTTTTAAGGGTTCGTAATTGAAAATGGAAAGTACTGAGTGGATTAAAAATGGTATACAATGTTCAGGTAGTAATCCCATATACATAATGTTGTACCGTTAGCGACTAGTATCCCCTTTGCAAGGAATATGACGTCAAACGTTTATCCGTTTTGGGCCTCAGAAAATTCCCACTTAAGGGAAGAGTACCCTTACATCCCTCCTATTGTAGATAAACTCCAGTATAAATATACAAAACGGGGACTCGATATCGCTAGTCGACCACCATCTTTCATTGCGCTGTGATCGTTGCAAAATGAGTGTTCAATGATTATTGCTGAGAAATCGACGACAAATGAACATTCGATGTGTTACTGTGATTTGAAAGGAAGAGAACAACAATGACCATTTTGGAGCGATATTGTAAGGCGCTTTATCCGAGTAAGTAGGTTTTCTATTTTTTGAAGATTCATTGAATTCATTCAATAAAGCATGACCAACAATTGATATAGAAAGATAACAATTTCTTAAGTGAATGCAAGAAATGTTAAAGGTGTGCGTATGAAATGTGTTTGTGGTATTTTATTTTTAACAGGAGAGTTTCAACTTAAAAAAATTTCATTGTTGAATATTTTGGTGGATAAAATATTGATCTACCTTTACATGTCCAATTTGTGTTAGTTCGCGTGTGACATGGAAAATACTTATGAGTTCACGAATGTTCTTATCGAAAATATTTTCATTCTCTAGTGTTCCTTTTAACAATTGTGTTTGAATCTTAAATAATATACTTTCGATTATATTACTTTATACTTTATATTATAGATCACTAGTCATTAATTTTTACTACTACACTTAAAAGTTGAAAATATTTAAAAGAAAATAGCAGACGAATTAAGATCGTCACTATCGACGTACCCTTTAACGCCATTAAGTTCGTTATATATTTTTGGCTACTTGGCGACCTTGAAAAGTTGAGTACGATTGTTGCAAGATTCATCTGGCATTTATAACGTGTATTTGGCCTATCACGACGGTAACAATTATTTGGATTCTTGAATTTTTAAACGCTTTCCATTATCATTGTCATATAATAATATAATCACGTATACAATGGATTATAATGTTGAATATATCGTTAGTATAGTACATAAAAACTGCTGAAAAAAAATGTAAGCATGTACGATCTTGCACTCAATACAATTTGAAAGTAATGAACGTTTAAGCTTATATTGTCATTCGTTATTACACTTTTCTTTTAATAGTTTAAACGTTAACGGTGTGATACCCATACATTAAATCTACAAGCCCATAAGAGTCATTAAAAAAAACCAAATACGTAAATGAAATAACTTTAGATATATATAGACAATATGTAAATATCTAGAAAATATATAAATGATTTTGTGGTGTTAAATAAAATCTACAGATCTGCATGTCCGTGCGCCTCCTACAATAGCCACACTTAAAAAACTGTGTATAACTTTTACACGCATGATCTTAGGATCCCGTGAATTTACACGAATATTCTGTACACCCAGACGAATAGAACGTACTATGATTTTTCCCGTTGACGGCCTTTATTAGTGACAAAAAAAATTACAAACTTGCCATTGTACCGAGCGTAGCTCGTATACGTACAGTCGCGTACAGTCGCATTCAGAACCTATTGCTCGCCGCGCGGCTCCGTCTGCCAGGTCCGTCTACCAGTTTCAGCGTCATCAGCTCTGCCACTATGCTGTGATTTCCACAAATCAGAGTCGCAGTCCGCAGGCTTAAGCACAATAGAGTTTATCCATACACGGCTATATCTACGCGCAACGAAAGACGCATGCGCAGAGATAGGAAAATCGAGAGTGAGAACTGAAGGGGAACTTAAAATTTAAGAGGTAGCACGGTCTCGACTGATTAAAAAATGCAAGATTCCACTGTACTTCCAAAGTAACCACCAAGGAGATTTTAATAATGGCGACCAGCGTCATGAGACTTCATGCTTGATAGCTATTGGGCATAGTGGGTACGAAATATATGTTGGGTGTTTTTCTTTTGGGATATAAGTTGGCAGATTTAAACATACTCGCGACACAATTTCTCCTTTATTCAACTTCTTTATTCTACTAATGTTAAACAGGTAGGATTTCATCGTTTAAAGAAAGCATACTCGTGTCAGAGTGTCGTTAAAAGAAAAACACCTGTTTTCGTGTGTTTGTGTAGCTAAAAATGTTCTTAATTAGTTCCGCGTTTGGAAAAATAATTAAGCAAGACCGCATGGAATATGTGAGAGCGTCTTATTGTTTTTTGACAACGGCGAATGTACCAGATGCCACCGTATGCTTTCGTGCGATCCTACCTATTTGCCCCAATATTTAGTAATGTCAAAACTTGCGTATCATTTTCATAATCTTTTGATCGATCTTAGAGTTGATACTAAGGTACAAAGTGTACGTTTTTGGAAAGAAAACCTTAGGGGAAAATAGATTCAAATCCAAATAAAATTCTCACGTGCATTTCCCATTAGGTGCAATGTATATGACGTCACACTTCACATGTTTATATTTATTAGAACTACTCAGCAAACACAATGTAACAATGTACATATGTAACATGCATATTACTTATAAAGGCCATTATATAATGCAATATAATAAAAAAAAAAAAGGAATAAGAAATAAGCAATAAGATCTTCATTTGATATTTATGTAATTCCATTGGATCCTCCAATCAAGAAGGAGAAAATCGTTTTTAAAACCGAGCGTTTACTAAGTCTCTACGATTTTTATGACGTCTTGGACATAGCAACGATACGGAAGCGGTTGCTAGGGTCTTTAAGGACTTCACGGAGCACGAAACGTGATGAGTAACATCGAGCATGCTCCGTTCCGTAATTTATAACGGCTTACGTTAAAAATACGTAGCAACGATACGGAAGTAGTTGCTAGGGTCGCTAAGGATTTGACGGAGCACGAAACGTCATTGTCAAATGTCATTACCTGTCACCTGTCATTATCTGTCAATATATAAATATAAAAAAAAATGTGTATGCGTTTATTCATACAGATAAGTAAATCATTACTTCATTTTTAAAGTCACGATGACTTTTATCGTAGAGAAATTTCATTTCTCTAACGATATTGATAATAACCTCGTCTATAGAGCTGGTAATGACAGGTGACAGGTAATGACATTTGACAATGACGTTTCGTGCTCCGTCAAATCCTTAGCGACCCTAGCAACTACTTCCGTATCGTTGCTACGTATTTTTAACGTAAGCCGTTATAAATTACGGAACGGAGCATGCAACGTTTCGTGCTCTGTCAAATCTTTAGCGACCCTAGCAACCCGCTTCCGTATCGTTGCTATGTCCAAGACGTCATAAAAATCGTAGAGACTTAGTAAACGCTCGGTTTTAAAAACGATTTTCTCCTTCTTGATTGGAAGATCCAATGGAATTACGTAAATATCAAATGAAGATCTTATTGCTTATTTCTTATTTCTTATTATATTGCATTGTAGAATGGCCTAAGTAATGGCCATTTACTTATCTTACATACATAACGTCAGCGTAACAACGCTGTTATATAGATGTTATGAAAATGAGTGGGAAATTAGAAATAACATGCACATTTAAAATGTAATATTGTGCTTGCTACGTAGACAGTGAAGTTGCTGCATTATTTGTTACATAAGGTGGCCGATCTGGTACTATGTCACAGTTTAAACTCAACGAATAACATTTGAGTTGAGAAAATGCTCCAGGTGCCCTAAAAAGAATTCAAACAATCTCATTCACACCTGAACAATCAGTCGATTTAAAAGTTTTTTAAAAGCGTGATAAGAAATCGCGTTTGTGAAGGTGGTTTTCATCGTCTAACGTAATTGAATTCTATATTTTGAACATCTTTGTCATTTTTGCTCTGAAACAACACACGTAGTATTAATTTTCGATAAAATTTTGCTGTTGGCATGGCAATATCTGTATTTATTTCTTAAAAAATATCGGACAGTCCAACAAGATATTTTGCAAGGCAATCATCTTTTTTTCACTCAGAAGCAAAGGTATTTCCTAAAAAAAGTTTCAGATCTGCGTAGCGGAATGTTTTGGAAATTATTACGTTAGTAATGTATTTCTAAGAATTTTTAAAAAGACAGAAATAACCTATCCTTATATTGTGGAAGGCAGGCTTAAACGAATATTTTGGATGTCATGAGAATGTCATAAAAAAGCTCGCCAACCGTGATGTACAAACAGAAAAAAAATAGTTGAATATATGTTTGCAGAATGGATTCCCACACGAGTTGTGATATGTGTAATGCTATTCATCAACTGTTGGACCAGTTACATGTTACGATTACAAATGCCAATTTTGGCAGTGCCAATGATCATCAGCCAATCTGAGAACAGCACTTCTGGTGCTTGCGTACAAGACGACGATAGTTCCAACAGAAAACGGCGATTTCTGGATGACGATAATTATCTCTATACATGGATTACCAATGAGAAAGATTCCATACACCTTAAACGATTATCCAGGGCATCTGATAATAAAGCTCTGGAAATTGAACCTAGAGCATATTTGTTCTCAGGGGAGCCTTTCGACTGGTCGCCAGAGGTCAGGGGTCAACTAATAGCAGCGTACAGTTATGGAAATGTTCCCGGTAATTTCATCGGTGGTATTATGGCACTAAAATTAGGGCCCAAGAGGGCTGTTCTATGGACCGCGCTGTTGGCCGCTTTAATCTCTCTAGTGAGTTTATCTTAAATTTTTCTATTGTATTGTTTACCTTCTTGGTTCTTGGTACTGACCATATGAAATTCAGAGTTTCAACATTTGTTCAATTATTTTAAGATCACTCCTCTTCTGGCGCATGCTCATTGGGGAGTTTTACTGATGTCACGGGTGATCATAGGCTTTACGGGAGGTGTGACTTTTCCTGCGTGTCACACGATGGTAGCAAAATGGGCTCCGCCTGATGAAAAACAGCGTTTCATTTGGTCTTTGCTTGGAGGTACTTTTGGCACGATGCTTACCTACCCCATGATTGCTGGTATAGCAGGTGATATCAATTGGGAAATGGGATGGTATTTGCCATCATTATTGATGTTTGTCTGGATTGGTTTTTGGGCATTACTAGCGTATGATACACCAAATGAACATCCAGGTATTTCGACCAAAGAGAAGGAATATATATTAAAGTAAATACAATTTCTTTCAGTTTTTTTTTTCGCATTTTATCTTGATGTATAGGTATAATCATTACTTAATTATAGTTCTCAAATGGGAATAGTGCGACAGGAAAAACCAACTTTAAAGCAAACACCCGTAAAGCAGATATTCACATCAATTCCATTTTGGAGTCTAATAATGTGCCACTTTGGAAATCTTTTCCTACTATTCTTTTATCAAAATGCGATGATGCTCTATTTGACAAAAGCTCTGGGTTTTAAACTTGCAAAAGGTGGTGCTATAGCATCTTTGCCATGGGCTGGTCGAATGTTATTTGGCTTTTTCTTCAGTTGGGCTGGCGATACAATAAAAAAACGTAAACTCATCTCTATCACAGCATTGAGAAAAGGAGCAACTATATTTTGTAAGTACATTAAAAATGTCGATGATAAAATTATGAGAATCCCAATGATGTTTCTCGGATGTCCTATGGAGGTCCTATGAACGAATGGATATCTTGAGGACATCCCACGGATATGCTTTGTTGTGTGGGATAAGATCACGTTGCATCTTTTCCTTCGTGTCTTTTTAGAAAATATTACATTTTTGCATAAGTATTGACGTTTAACGAACACAGAGTAACGGTTACATTTTTCCATTTTTATAATTTTCTACTAAGGGATATAATAAATTCTAGACAACACGAAATTTAAAAAGATCTTTTAGAGATTTCATATTGAGGCTAATTTTATGAATTATGTACGTAAAAATCCATTAAGGAACTCTAAAAGATATCTTTTGTGGCAAAATAATAACCACGTTTCTATTTATATTTGGAATTGCGAAAAAAAATTAAGTAAGGATAAAATTAAGTAAACGTAATTACATGTATATCATTGTGTTAAGGTATTACTACGGTAAACTCAAAACCGCGTAATCGAGCTGAAATTTGTTTTACGTCTAATTTGTATAGCAGTACATCTCTCTACAAATTTTTAACACGATTCACTCATCAGTTTCCGAGTATTTCCGAGTTAATGTCAGGACTCGTAACACGTATTCCCTATACCTGGCCAATAAAACGCGCATGGTTTTTTTTATTGCATTTGACTCGTCCGCGTAATTCCGATGAAAAACTAGTATGTGGCAAAGGAGAAAATTAGGAATTTTTTAGATTTTTAGTCAGAACTTTTTACTCATCGGATTTATTGATAGACATGAAAGAAGTTCGATATTTATTACCAAATCTCTCGTAAGACGGCTAGACAAAAGAGCGTCACGGCAACATTGCGTTTGAGACTGTATTCGGTGTATATACGTATACACTACTACATCCAATGTACATTAGTGTGTGCCTATCGATGCAGGGATGGGCGTGTGTGAGTGAACTGTACCAGTTCAAAAGTTGACGCTGGATTGTTCAAATCTTACATTGAAACTTTTGTTATTTTTCGGTCCGTAGTAATACCTTAATCTGTCGCCAACGTTCTTTATATATGCTTAAAAGTTTTGCAATTTGCGAAAGAACTCTTTTCGACTTTTGAATTATATCGTTTTAACCAGTTCTAATATCACCGCATAAGAATTCTTTAACTGCTCAATTTGAATAATTTATGATTAACTTTTTAGACATCTTGTTCAGAATTGAAAAATGTAATGATTTTTTTAATGTCTGGGATAGCTACGTACGTCAGGTGTTTTATAACTCTTATATCCTTGAATAAGGAAACTCTGAATAAGATTCCTCATATGTAACCGTTACTTTCTGTGCGTTGCACGTATGTGGACATCATGGAATTGTAATAATACTTGACGTATTTTTTGTATATATATTTCAGCCCATCTAATACCCGGTATTTGCCTTATTGCGGTTGGCTATTTGGGCTGCTCCTTTGTTTGGGCAAATTTCTTTTTGGTTCTTGCGCTTGGATTTAATGGTGCTGCCAGTATTTCGAATCTTTCGAATAATCAAGACCTGTCGCCAAATTTTGCTGGTTTTCTTTACGGAATCATGAACACGATAGGCTGTACCACTGGAATGATAATTCCACCTATGGTAGAAGCCATCGCTGGCAGATACGGAGTAAGTATACTTGAATCACATATGTTTAATGTTTAACATTATTGTGTTTGCAATTGACACATTACAAACTGATGACGAGATATCTTGCGTTTCGTATTCCACCGTTAGAGGACAATGACGAGATATCTCGCATTTACTATTTAACAAAAATATACCAGGCTACTGGCTATAGTTATAGCAATTAAATGTCTGGTCCGCAATGTGTTAACACGATCCATTATCGATTTATAATATCGTATTTAATTGGAAATTGATGTTTTTGTAATTCATAATTGGTTTAAAAGTTTATAGAAGTATAGAAGTTTCCTGTTGACCATAATTCCATTTTCGTGTTTTCAAAAAGCGTATAATAATCTTGCTAAAGATAATACCTATACTCATTTGAATAATAACAATCATTGTAATTCTGCTGATTTATCTTATCAGCAATAAATGAATTGAATGACACTATTGAGATTAGGATAATGAAAATGTTACCATATTCATTCGAAAATCACCTTTGCATTGCTATACTAACGACAGTCCCGAATCCCCAGTCTAGCCTTGTACTATGTCGCATCATTCATAGTACGGGCAGTACTGAGGAATCGTGTCAGTCATGCTTCATCGTAATCACAAAGAAATGCAACACCTTTCAAGCATGTGACATAATATAAATCATTGCTTTTTTCTACACAGTTGAACGCATCTGCATCCATGACTTTTTTAGCTTGTGGGAGGCATGTGTGTATTTTTTGTTCTCTACCTAATATAACATGTAGTACGAGAAGTACCCACAAGCCTATCAACTATTTAAGTCTTTCATTAGTTCCTCAGCAGTTTATAATTACAAAGCAATTCTCATAACGCACAGGTATTATTTTAATTTGAAATTCTTAAGGTAGTATGGTAGAGTTTAACTGAAGTCAAATCAATAGCCATATATAATTTGTTAAATTTCATTTAAAAAATAAAAAAGTATATTAAAAATATGAATTTAATACTGGCAAATAATAATTATTCTGATAAATTAATCATAATACTTACTGAACGCCCAAATCTGCACCGCCATTCGTTCCCTAGCGTTTACGGATAGGGAAAAAAATATGCGAAAGAGAGAGATAGCCGTCGCATGCGTTTTATTTAACAATAATTTCTCAATATGTATATGGTAAATGATGTTTATTTTTTTTTACAGTAAACGCCTCAAGTATCTAGCTATCTGGAAATATATTCTAATGCATCGGTTAACTTGCTAACTTTCGCGAAAATTAAGTACATCTGACTAAATACAACTATTTTTTCCCCACCACCTTAATTTTGCCCAAGTTTACTAATTTATATCCTTTTAATTAGACGGTAAAAAAAAATTTAATTTGAGCCAGCAGACACAGCTGATCATGCTCTTTCGATTAGGCATTAAAAAATGTAGGGTAAACTTTTTAGCATATTACTTTAACATACAGCAATTCTGCTATTTTGCACTAGTTTATGTAATAATTTAAATAATTTAAGAAATGTTCAGGGATATTAATTTATTAATCATGTTTTGATACTACTACATTAATGCATATTTTATACGCCATCATGAATTGTTAAATAGCCATGTCTGACTTGTAGTTTAATAACGCTATGATGATTTCTTTATTCATGCTCTCCATTATTATTTTCTACTGTAAAACTACATTTTTGTTACGATTTTACTGTATATTTTTTTCACTTGCAGAATCCCATTAATAAGTGGCAAATACTTTTCTGGATTGGTGCAGCGGTGTGTATACTATGCATGCTTATTTTTATACTTGGAGGAAGTGGTCAAGTTCAAAGTTGGAACGAAATTGCACCAGCAAAACGCACAGACACTGAGGTTGAAGCTGGTGCCGAGACAACTACACCGACAGGGACGAAAGTACAACCATCTGACATTAAGACATAGGCGACAAAATAGAGAATACTATGTTTGTTTACCCTAAAGGAATAAATTATATCTTGCATGTTTTTTAAATTCTAATATGATTTAATTCAACTTGGACTGTGGTGCATTTCGTGAGTTGACGACTCATCAACAAGACTGTTTCGATTTGAAAATGGTCGCTATGTTTTAAAAATTTGTATAAAATCCATAGAAACAGTTTTACTGGACATAGAAAAAGTAGGATGTTATTCAGAGCGAACATTTGGAGTTTTTTTAAATTAAACTGTTCAAGCATGACGAGTCTTATTGCTCCCGATTGGATATACGTTTTTACTGGTTGATTTAGTTTTTGATTGACATTCAATATTTCATGATTTTCGATTTTAAGAACGATATAGTAGCAAACTTTGTGCACACTTCATTCCAACTAATGCAGCATATTCACGTACTTCATCTTCATCCTTAACTTTTGACCTCTGGCTATACGAGGGATATAGCATAATGGTTTCACGATAAAGAACTGAAACCTATAGGTACAAGAATTATATTAATGTGATCTCATATGAAATGTAACTATATTCTTTTTTTACCTTTTGAATGTTTACAATGCCAGTTTCATCAATACCGTCGATATCTTCATTTAATCTGCAATACTTCTGCTTATCTAATTTAGGTAAGCATTTTTCAATGTCGCACCACACATAAGTTTCTGGGCACAGAAGCTTTGAAGGTCTGATTTTGGCTTTATATCTCATTTTTGGACATGTGTGAATATAGAACCCCATGTAATAGAATTTGAGATTCGATGATATTTTGTTAAGTTGTCTAGTCAAGTAGACTTCTCTCAGAGAACTGCCAACAAGTAATATTTATTTAAAGTAAAACTGTATTGAAACGTAAAATATGACAAATGAGGTAATTAACAAACCTAAATGTACCCAGAGAGAGCGAATGAAGTTTCGGGTCATAGAAAAAATAAACACTTGATATACATAATGGCAATATATCAATTACACCAACAGCAATAAGTCTATTATCCAGCCAGTATTGTTCATGAAACGAACCATAACCTTTAGGTGGTCCATCTTTTGGGTTCCAATGCTTCAGAATAATAGAAATTCGCAAGTATTCAGTAAAATAAATATAAAATTTATATAAAATATACACTAATACAATTTTACAAAAATACCTGTAATGGACTCTTGACAAGAAAGTTGAAAAATGTTTTTTTATCACATTTCTCAGGTGGATCGCCGTGTATAGCCATCTGATATTCTTTGTACAAATTAACGGTAACATCTAAAGTATTCAGGAATTCCTCGGACATGACGCGCACTAGCTTCATCTATTAATCAGATTGTAAAATTTGTATTAAAACATTGTAAAACAGTTAAAACTTTAGATTTAATTTATTTTGAAATACCTCCAATCGATTTGACCCAACATGAACTTCATCAAACAATTCTTCCAGAGATTTAATATTAACTCGAGCCTGTAAAGTCTGTTTTGTGATATCTTCTATCTCTTTAACAGACTTTCCCTGTGCTGCTAGTTTCTTCAATTTCCGTTCAAAACGCAACTGTTTAGCCTTTTTAACTGGATGTTTTCCAGATTCTGGAGTAATATTAGATATAGTCAAGGATCCTTCACTGGAAGTGACTTCAGTACTTTTTTTTAGTTTTGAACACATTGGCTGAGGTGAGAGACGTCTCTCCAATTCAGATTCTGCTGTAGTTATGCTGAACTTTTCTATATTTTTCTGGACTTGATTTGCTGGTTTTATATAGTTCGAAATTTCAATGCCACTGGTGTCTGAAATGGAAATAGTTCTAGGACCAATTGGAGTTCCAATAAGATAATCAACAATGGCAATTCTTGAATGTTTGTTTTAACGTTGACTACATTCGGTTAGAATCTCAACTCAAGGTCCAATTGGTGTTCTAATTAAGATTCAGTGCCTATAGAGGTTGATTTTGGGAGCTAGTTAAAGTTTCAATCAGGAGTGTGTCATGCAGATTCTAATTTAAAAATAGGAAACAATGTTTGTTGCAGACATTACCTAATCGACCATCCAGTTTAACGATATCACTAGTATCCATTGACTCATTCTTGAGTTCGTTATGCAAAAATTTTGCCATACGCTTCAGAATCTTCTTCTGTGATTTAGAAATATTAAAATTTGGTGCATCACATCTGAAAACAACATGCTTCTAAATCTTAACTTCATATAGTTTATGCATACCACATACCTAATAGTATACATAGGACAACAAATTTGATCCATCACTGGCTTGTAAAGATAGCTTCCACTGCGTCGCCATCCACGATCAATTAAGTCTTGATAATTTTGAACTGTCAAATAGTGTGCCCACATTCCTAATTGATTAAATGATAGTTTAATGGTTTGGGGTGGATAGTTTCAAAGCTAATACCATAATAATTTATCAATATCATATTCATATTCTTGTTCAGTTTTATATATACAATGCAACAATAATATTCTACAAATATTCTTTGAAACCGAAAAATAATTGAATACAATAATATAACCTGCAAGATATATCTCACCATAATTAAGATTAGTATTAACAGCCTTGCAGTAACCGCACTTGTGTTTCTCACGTTCAGCAAAGTACTCCACAATACTATAGCATTCTCTAGGCATTATTGCAACCAGTAAGTATTTTTAATATCCGTATAAATTCAAGTTACAATTTTTATTAGAATTCCACTTGATATTCCCTGTCATGGAGACTAGAGTAGAGGAGTCCCATCTCTAATAGAGTCAACGAAAAAACGACACCAGAAATGCGTCGAAAATAAGAAATTCACTATTTCGCCGATGGCGTCGCTGTTGTCAATAACTAACCTATATATAGATATAGAAGCCATGTAGATTATATATATCTAGTCTCCATGGATACACAATGAAAGTTAGACGCTCTAGAAATGGCGCATCTGCGGATAGGTTAAAAAACATTCAATGAATGTATGCACTTTTTAACAAATGTAGAAACTAAGATAAAACAAACTACCTATTGACGATAACATGCGTGTAAGGTTCCTAAAAGGTATTGTAGTTAATTACTATAAAATATATAATAATAATAATAAATGGTAGGAACCAATAATGGACAATATAAATGCCGACATTAAAACGACATTCTAAAGATATCATACTGCGTCGTGTTTAAGAACATCTGTATAAGACGACTACAGGATGTATTACGCACAGCATTTTTCAACCGGACGTCAGAAGGACATTGCAGATATAATTCAGATATTTTGTGTTGTGTGGGAATCTACTATTAAGAAAAAGGGTAAAAGAATAAAACGTCAGTAAACTAGGTGGCACAATACTATTACAAATGTTAATCAGAGATTGTTATTTCTAAATCAGAAGATTTGTTTGTGATCATAAGTGTATCAATAGTAGGTTTTTTGTTTTGAAAAAACGTCTGCCACAGCTAAAGCAAGAATGGCTTGAAACAGAGTAATTTGTTCCTGTGTATGTACACTTCCAAGTTTGGTACCAATTCTCAAGACTCCACCAATCTCTCTAAAATATTATTCGCAGTCATTTCTACTTCTTCATTTTCTTTTTTACTATCGTCAAGCCCTTTAATACCAAAAACAAGTTTTTTTCTATTGAGGATTTACCATCCAAGGTTGTAATTTTGTAACTACTCAGTTTCTTCTTCAATGGCTGTTTCATTGCCATTTGGAATTTGTTGTAGCAATTTCATAAACATATATTTGTCTAAGATTGGTTTTAGTGGTGGAATTGTTATTCTAAAGAAGGGTTTTCCAAATAGTGTTAATATTTTGTTGCGTTACTGATTTCCATGCCTAAGCAATTAGATTGCAACAGCTTCATATTGTCCATTACTTAAAAACATATATGATACTTGTAATGTCAGTTTTGATTATAGAAGTTCTCATTTGTATTTTCATTTCCCCTTTTCATTTTCTCAATTACTCCTTGATCCATAGGTTGGACAAGGGAAGTGACGTTGGGTGGTGAATACATTACTTGACATACGTCACTGATCAAAATAAGTTCTATGGCGGATGGGTGAGATGGAGCATTAACTAGTAAAATGTAAAACGATGCATGATGCAAATTTGCCCCATATTGTTCTATTATGGCAGGTACTCCCTTGTATCATTCTGTAAACAGCACCTTGTCCAGCCAGTTACTCTTCTGTCTCCGATAGATAATTGGTAGTATTTTGATATTTTTAAAATACTGTGGTTTCTGGAAATTCCCTATAACAAGCAGACGTATTTTATGTGCTGCTTGCATTCGTACAGATCATGATTGTTACTTGATACTTGGCTGTTTTTCATTCAGGTGCTTGATTTTCACGATGTGTTACAAGAATCTTATTTGGCAATATCTTCCACAGAAGTTCTATAATAATCATTTCAGTATCAAAACAATTTTTATTATAAAGCCAATGAACCAATAAAGTTGAAGATCTTCAAAATTTACCTGTTTTGTCTGCATTGTAGACTTGATCCTTTTAAATTCAATTTGACACAATGAATTCCAAAAAATCATTGCAAAATAATTCACTGGCTTCTAAAGGCATATACTATGCTTTTTTTTAAATGATCAAGTTATCAAATCATTCCTTTCAAATTAATAGATCCATTTAACATCTCATTAAAATGCAATGCTTTTTCATGTAATGAAAATCATGGATTGCCTAGGCTGTGTTTCTGAATAAACCATTCGTACATTAAGTGGTCTAAAGCTATGTTTCCAGATCCCATTCTCTTCTTTTTTGTACCTGTACCCAATATTCTTTGTTTTTCAAGAATATTGTTTCATTTATTCTTACTTTAGAAATTACCTGCTGTGACACTCCATATTGAACGACGATTTCATTCTCAGACTGTTCAGCAGCAAGCCTTTTAAGTTTTTACTTTGCAACAGAGTCGCTTCTTTTTTTGTTCGTCATTTTCCAAAATATAAAAACGAGAATAACTTAATATTAGGCAAAATATGTTGCTTATTTCCGATGCAACCAAAACATTTTAATAATCCTACCTTGTGCTAATTATTTTAGATTAAAAGTAAGGAAAGTTAAGGAATGTCAAAACATACCTGTTACACGATAGTATACCTCATGATACTTGGGCGCCAGGTGCATCCTTGCACCAGCCCGACTCGTCGGGCCTTTAATTTCTAATCCGCGGCACGTCAATTCCGAGAGTCTTCTCGACCGGATCTTCCCGCTAGCTCCTAATCCGTCATGGTAGAGGGGAACGTGAAGGCGGCGAGTATCTACAGGAATCAGCCGGCTTCTTTGGTAATGGCTAACACGGTGGGATTTAATTCCAACAATAACCCTTTATTTTGCCTAGGTAAACGAGTACAGTCGGGTGATGTATACGAGCGCGGCTCTATATAATTCTAATACACAACGCGGTCGCGGAGGTCATCCCTGTTGACGGTGGTCGGTTCAAATCTGCAACCGCCAGGACCCGTGGCGAGGCCCGCGGCCCCCCCACTCCTCGTGCCAAGATACACCGGCGGATGCGCTTCATCCCCGGCTGCATGGCTTTGGGGCGGTCGCCTAAACTGCACTTACCGAATCTTCCGGTGAACCGTACCTTCCTTCCTCGTCACTCGGGTGGTGGTGGTTGGCAATTTTTCCTCCTCGTCGGCCGTCTCCTTCCTCTATCATCGGAGTTCCGTAGGAGCGCCGACGTCGTCGATAGATCCAATTCCATATCGCGTCCGGGAAAAAGCCATGTTGCCCAACAGGTCCTGCAAATCTCACCCACTCTCACCACACTCAAACCAGAAAAATCGCGATACCTTATCCGCCGATTTTCGGTATTCCCGTTCCGCGGTGCACAACGAAGTGGCCCCCTTTCGGCCCCCGGTCCGAGGATTCCCGAAGAATCCCGAGTTCACCCGAACTCGTGCGTTTTTTCTCGCCTCGGTCCGCTCTTCGCTTTTCGGCGCTCACCGCCCACCAGTCTCCGGGCGGCGCCGATCTTACCCGAGTC